CAATTCATATTTATCAGAGTTTTATTTAATTTTTAATAAATATAAGTTGGCCCTCGGTTTGCTTTTAAATTTTTTAATTTTAATTTTAATAATTTAATATTTAAAATAAATAAATTAGATATTATCAGATTGATTTGCTCATGTCTTTTGAAAAATCATTTATAAAGTTATCACTAAATCAATTTTATTTATACAAATTATCGTTGTCAGATTTAAAATCATTATTTTTTTCATAGATAATTGAAAATATCTAAATTCCTACAAGGCCAATATCAAAGCTTTGCATCCACTAAATTTATTCTCTCAAAGATTCCATTCAAGATTTTACTTTTTCCTTATAAATTTCTTTACCAAAAGAATATATGTATATAAATATAAATAAAATATTGTTTAACCCCCAAAAACTACTACTGTAACTTTCCCAAAACTAATAATTTTATCTCAAGATTCTCTGTAAATTTTTTAATAAATAAAAAATTCACATGAATCCAATCCAAACCCAGACTTGCACGTAAAACGCATAGCAGACTAGGCATGAAGGTCTGCTGTCAGATGTATATTATATATGGAATCTTCAAAGCAAACAGAGACGCAAAAACACCAAACCCTAAAACTATTCCACAACTTGGTTTCTTAATTTAGATGTTTTTTTAAATCCAAGATTGTTCCTTTCTTCGAATTGTGGCTGTCCAACCTAAATTTCTACTATATCGTCTATGTCCTTCTTATCATATAAGCATTCTTGTGCGCTTCTCATTAATTTAATTCTATTTTGAGAGTTTTCAATTTCAATTACTCCTCTGGTTTCAGTTTTTTCAATTTTCTAATACAAAATTTTCTTTTATTTCACATACTCCAAGTTGCATTCTTTCAAGAAATGCGAACAAAAAAAAGAAAAAAAAGCTATAGTTATATAAATTTTTAGGTCCCCTCCTTGATCTATATATACTTGCACTAATTCAACCAAGACAAAAATATTTGTGCGTATGAGTAACAGCTAGCAATCATCACGAGATGATTGGCAATTTTTGTCACATTTGCTGTAATAACATAACTTGTATTGCTGTCTCCATTCCACCTCTCTTACACTCCAATGTTACTCTTCAAAACACCACAAACATCCAACAAGAACCTTCCACTACATCCTCATTATAATTTCTTTTAATTTATATCGATAATCCTGCATTGGGCGTGCACCCGCCCAGCGATAAATCTCTACTTTGAAATATTTTCAAGTCAGTTTATACGTTATTTGAAATTCAATTCTTTTTTCGAATGAATTAATATCGTATCTTTACGTGTGGCGTATTGATATAAAAATTACTATTATCTTTTGAATAGTGATTATAAGAAATTAACTCTACTCAGATTGAATCCAAGCAGGCAAATTTTTTTTTGAATTTTTATTGAATGTAATGTAGAAACAAAAGAGTGTGAAGAGAAATTGGAAACCCAAATCCTTTGTTGGGTCACTCTCATCACGTTTTGCTATTCGATAAGTCATAGTCGAGCCAGTTGACGACAAAATGTTTGTGGTAATAACAATGAGAACAAACACAACAACTTGTTAGAATCTGGAGAAGCGAAAGGAAAATAACAGCTGATATATCCTTCTATATGTCTAGCTCAGACATTACTTCACATTCTCTATGGATTATAGCGGGTTTGTTATGAGGTCGGAATTTATTTATTTTTTTCAAAAAATAATATTTTCCAAAGAGAAAATTTAATATTATAATTAAAACATTCGATGTTTGATAAAAGAAAAAGATTTTCAAGAACTTATAATTAGTACCAGTTCAAATAGCAGTATTAGGGCACACCTAGCTAGATAATGAAGCTGATATATGCCTGCTACAAGAAACATTTCACCAATGCTTTCTTGCAGAGAATTGAAGAAAATGGGAAATGAAGTTTCAAAAAAAAAAAAAAAAAAAAAAAAAAAAAAAAAAAAAAAAAATAAAAAAAAAAAAAAAAAAAAAAAAAAAAAAAAAAAAAAAAAGAAAAAAAAAAGTTTGCTTGCTCTCATTTCAAGAAACAGTTTCTGAAACCCTATTTTTCAGCTAGAGCATGCATATGTACATATGGAATGAAAGCTGATGCTATATATGGTCCCCTCCCCCCGAACCTCAATTATTCAAGACAAGAAATTTGAACAAAAATATTGTACCCCATACAATATTGTTGCTAGCAATATATCGGATTTTCTTTTCTTTCCCGAATGCTTAAAAAAAAAACTGAAAGAGTATAACTTTCTAAATTATTATATATAGAGAAATAAATGTAAATTTGGTTATTAAACTTGTTTAACAGGATAAAAAATATTAGATTTGACCTTTTAGACTAATTTAGCCATTGAATTTATATAAAATGATTAAAAAAATATCTGATTTCACTTTTTAAATCAATTTAACCCTTGAACTTATTTTGATTTTTATAAATTCATAATTGATTTAATTTAATATAATTGACTTTTTATCTCTTTTTATCTTACACTAAGAACATTTAGATCAAATTTTTCCAACACTTATAAATATATAAATTTAAAATTCATAAAAACATAATTTCTTGTAATATAATAAATTTATAAACAAGCATTTTAACTTTAATTAATTCAACATGAAAAATGTATAGATTTTATAAGCGATAACCCAGTAATATTTTAAACTTTAATTAATTCAACAGTCGAAAAAATGGTTATAGAGTTTTATGAAGCGATAACCCAGGTAATAGAGGTTAATTTTAAAATAATTTGCATTAATTAATCATATATTTAGTAAACTCAAACATCAATTAAGGTAGAAGAGAGATGCAACAGTATTTCATATACTCATTCCTCCTATATTTTATAATCTATTAATTTTTAATAAATTAGTTGGCTGGATCCCAACTACAATTTTATAAATGTATATATATCTTGTAATATAATAAATTTATAAACAAGCATTTTAACTTTAATTAATTCAACATGAAAAATGTATAGATTTTATAAGCGATAACCCAGTAATAGAGGTTAATTTTAAAATATTCAAATTAATATATATTTATAAACTCAAAACCATCAATTAAGGTAAAGAGAGATGCAACATAATTCATATATCATTCTCCTATATTTTATAATTAATTAATTTTTTAATAAATTAGTTGGCTGGATCCCAACTACAATTTTAATAAATGTATATATAATGATTTTCATATTGTAATTACAACGAAGGATTAGAGATTAAATTGACTCAAAATGTCAAATACAATATTTTTAATCATAATGAGTCTCACGTTATAAGTATAAGAAGAATTAGAGGTTAAATTGACTCAAAATGTGAAATATAATTTTTTTAAATTATTTTAAATAAGTTCAGGGGTAAATTGAACTAAAAAGTGAAATCGAATTTTTTTTAATCATTTTATACAAATTCAAGAACTAAATTAATTCAAAAGATCAAATCTAACCCTTTTTTTATCATGCTAAATAAGCTCAGGACCATATTATCCTTTATTCTATTATATATATTGATTTGTACGTAAATCTAGATGCTTGGGCCAGAGTAGTAAGTACGTTTTAGTTTTCATTGATTAGAATGTGACTCAGAAAATAAACTTGATAAAAATTTTATAGGTTGTGATTAATTTATTAAAAAAGATTGAAGTTCAGGACCCCTAAGTCCTATAGCAATTGGACTTTTTTTGTTTTATCCGGGATGCAATTATTTTCACAAAAGAAAGATCTAGAGATGAGATCAATCGAGTACTAGAGAGTTTACAAGCAATGGTGGAGGATTTTTGGTTCTTTTGCTTTTGAGTGAGAAGGAAATTTCCAACTTGGCATATATGTGATGTGCCCACAATTGTATTGCGAGAAACACATGCAAATAGTTACCAAGCTCTGATATTGAATCATAAACGTACACTGAGAGTCTGAAACTTGATATTGAATCATAGCACACATTCCTCAAACCTTTGCAGGGTAGCACATGAGATCTACTAACAGTAGGTGAAGAGTTCAGAACGTACGAGTGTGTCTACATTTTGTCCTCGAGTTCTCAATTTGCAAGTTACCCAAAGTGCTTTTGATTCTAATAAATTTGCCTTTGAAATTTCATCTTCTGCATCTCTGCAGTAAAACCTTAGTTTTCTTCTAAAAATGCTTGCATGGCAACATAAATATGGCTTTTGGGTCGATTTCTGTTTCAAGTAGATGAAATTGCCATTAAATTAGTATCTAAGAAAATTTAAGTGCATGTCCTCTCGTTTGAACCCGAGACTTGCAATATTGGTTTAATCATTTGCCCCCTTTAATTTAGTCAGTCAAGCTTTCATTGTAGCAAGAAAAACAGAGAAGACTTCTAACAACTATAATCACATTAAGAGTTCTAACTTCTTCATCTAAATTTCAAAAACTGAAATTTCTGTCAGCCCCAATTCTACCAGGTCAGACAAGATACATTGACATCTGAAAAATGTTACTAACAATGAATCACTGTAAGATCAACTCTTTTGCATACTGCAGACATATTCAAACACTGTGATGAAGAGCTGTTGCATTTATAAGCAAATATTGCCAACTGAGAAACAAAAGCATCAATTAAATATGAGATAAATAATAAAAACAATCAATCATTTTCAATGTAATAAGCAAGGGATTTAATAGACGTCTCAGACCCAAGCCATATAAATCAGCCCTAAAAGTGTCAAGCTAAAAACTAAGTTTTTATATATATGAATCTTTCAACTCAACAGCCTCAAGGATGCTAGAAAGCTGACAGAAAAGATTCAAGAAATGTAATCGTCACATGCCATAACTTCATATGCATGATCATATAAACTAAGACCAACAACATTTTCCAGGAGAAAAAGGACAACAATGTACATGCTAATTCCAGGAAATTTAAACATCAAGTACATGAATATTATGATCATAACTCCAAATGTGTAGCACAGATAAACATAACTAAGAAATCAACCTCTTGGTATCTGTGAACCAATATGAAACTAGTAGCAACTAGAGAGAAAAAGGGAAAATTTGAATCATTTAAGGGCAAAATTTACAGAAACTTGAACTATGGAATTTTATTTCCAGCAAATAAAGTTGATTCTATTCCGATGGCAAAATCAGATCGAGTTTAAAAAATTTTCAAACCAAAACTTTTGAACAAATGTCATACTTATCAGTCTCACAGAATACAACATGTCATACATCCCAACTAGATAGTCACAGCTACATCAGCAGTAGCAGTAGCAGTAGCAGCAGGAGTATCTTTACCAGATTTCATTGAACAGAAAAGGTTCAAAACATCAGCATGGTTTCGAATATAACGTGGGCATTTAGACAGGAAATCTTGTGCTTCAGAGCGCCTCCCAGCCTTGAAAAAGGCTTCAAATAAACGGAGAACCACAGATGTAGATGGAAAATCCTTGGAAGTCATAGCATTCATAAAAGCAATTGCATCATCACTTGATCCAGACTTTGATACATGATTAATAAATGGATCAATAAAGGGTGGGAAACCATCATTTTTCATCAAATTCAATAGATTCAATGCCTCTGTAAATCCACCCTGAACCAATAATTTACTTATCAATGCTTTGTAGGTTGTATGCCAAGGCTTTAACTGATTACGACTGATGTAATTGTGCATAAGATGGCTTGCATCTATTGCTCTGTTCTTGCGACAATATGCATTTACCAAACATTCAAAGGCATAACCGGCATTTGAAACTCCCTTCTTTTCTATCATATTTCGGAAACAAACAGATGCTTTTTTGAGATGGCCAGATACACAATTTCCTTGAATTAAAGATGCCCAGGCCTTAGAATCCAAATCACGTCCAGATGCTTCCATGTGATTCACAAATTCATTCACTTCGTGTTTGGTGCCATCGCTACCAAGCCCAAATGCAATCTTACGCTGCAGATTAGCACTTGCTAGAAACCCACCTTCCTTCATTTCTTTCAAAACCTTATTGCACTCTCTAAATCTACCAACGCTCGTTAGAGATTTAAGAACTGCATCTAGCATAGAATCTGTCAACTCATTTTCATTTCCAATAAAGATCTTCACAACTCTTGAAAACAAATCCATATCTAATTCTTTACCAGTCACTATCTTTTTTAACAAATAGGTACAACATTGCACTGAAGGCTTATTAGCACCACCCGATGCAAACTCATATAAGTCCACAGCCTCCTTCATCATTCTCCTCTTTATGAAACGTCCTAAAACCTTATCAAAAGTCTCCACCTCCATTTCATATCCATTGCTCCTCATTTCGTCGACCAACTTCCAGAACCTGTCAATGCAATCTTCCCTACCCAAAACCTGTGCCATTGCATTATAACTCCTTTCATCATGCTTAAACAATCTATTCTCCTCAACCCACTTAAAAAATATCAAAGCTTTCTTTGGTTCTATAGCTAAATTCTCCAACACAATCTTCACCAAGTCACTTGAAAAAGCTGCATTCAAATCCTCAATCTGTCGTTCAACATCCTCTCCCCAAACTTGATTTCTAACAATCCTACTCACCCTCAGACCAATCTTTTCCACGGAATTATCCACAGATCCTGTTGCGAATACCCCTTTTAGCTTCTCCAAGTCACTCTTTAACCCTTCTTTCTCAAATTTCTCCGTTACTCTATCTCGAGTACCCTTTGAAACACCATAACCTTTTTTCTTCATACTTTCAACTAAACACCAAAACTCTTCCACAGACCCATTAACACCCAAAATCCCTAGCATCAAATTATAAGCTTTCGAGCTCAACCTCTCACTGTCCCTCTCCAAAACCCAATTAAAAAATCTTCTTGCCACATCAGGGTTAGACCTGAGCAACTTTAACAATTTCAACACCATTTCATGATTAACAGCAACGCCATTCGACTCCAATGCTTTGCTAATATCATCGAAATCACTAAATTTAGTGAAAATATCAGACAAAATAGATAATTGATCTGTTTCCTTCTCTGGTTCAACTAATGGCTCCGATGAGAAATTATAAGCTATCGGGTTTTTGCAATTTATGGGGCTTTTAGGGTCTACAAAATTAGCCTCACGTGAAAGCGAGTGAAATGAATAGACAGAGCGAATAGAAGAGACAGTGTGTACCTGGAAATAAGAAGGGGAGGAGTGAACATGTGCTCGGAGAGACGAGCGAGGGCAATTTCGGAAGAGAAGTAATCGCCATGAATGTCTCATTTCTGTAGAATGGGATTAGGGTTCTTGAATCTTTGATCGAGATAGAAGATGCACAAGTGCAGTGTGTTAGGGTTTTAGCGGGGACTTAGTAAGTAGGTTTTTTGACAGTGTTTCGGTAGAATCGCATCACTGGCCTGCTGCTTGTGAATTGCGATAGACAGATAGTAAATTGTTAATGGGCCTATCTATGAACCATATGAATCCCAACCCAACTTGAGTCCATGAAATACTTTGGGCTTTAGGCGATATATTTGACCATCTTTAACTTTTATTTTTTATTTTTTTACTTTAATCTTATGTTAATTTTTGATTTCTCTCATACTTTAACTTATAAAATTATCCGATTAAACATTTCAATTTGTAAAATCATCTCAATAAATACTTCAATTTACAAAATTAAATACATGTTAGATAGTTGAAAATTTTAAAATTATATTTACCTAAAAGTTATGTTAACCACGTATCAAATATATATTTTATAAAAATCAAAATTTAAAAAACCGTTATTATTAACGTGAATATGTATGCAATGTAATCAAAATTCACAATTGTAAAAGTAAAGAGTAGATCTTCTTCAAAGTCGAGGTTGCCACAAGATTAAAATAATAAAATTCATAGCTAAATTTTTGTATTTAACTTGTATTTTATATTTTATTATATATAATATTAAAAATTTTATCAATTCACGGCTTGCTTATCAATATTGGCGATTTTAAATTTTGAATTCATAATCTTGCATGTAAAATTCATTTTGGGCTGCAGTCTTGATTCAATCACCTAGTGCACCCATATACTTAATTTATATAATTAGGGAAATATCAAAATATAAAACGTTTTGAGTATTTTAAATAATAATAAATATATTTTTTTTAATTTTACTCTTATTTATATTAGATATAATAACTATTTTCAAAAGTTACTTTTAGTTTTAATATAAATGATATTATAGTCAAATTACCCCTGATTTTATTATAATATAAGAGAAATAATTATTTCATTAATCTTTGTACAAAAATTTTAAACGACTTATTTTTTGGATAGAAGAAGTAAATATGATGTATAGAGCCTATCGAATTGTTTTGACTTGATGTAATTATCCAAGTATGATTAATTAATTATAAACGATCTTGAATTATATAAATGCACTCGGAACTATTGGCCTCAAGCACTAATTTTTCTACCATGTATCTTTGAAAAAGCAATTCCAACCGTTGGATTAACAAAGAATAACGTTACAATAAGATTAGGATGTGATCGGATAGCTAAGATTTGGAGTTATAATAATTTCATTAATTAAACAAGTGGAATGGAATGTGAAAGTCACATACTATCAAATACATTTTAAATAGCAGAATTAATCAATTTTGACTTAATTTAATTTCAATTTGAATATCTTAATTTAATTTAATTTTAAAAGTGCTCAAGTGTAATTTAATCAAGTGTGATTTAATTTAATTTTAATCAAAATGTTTTAATTTAATTTAATTACAAGTACGGTTAAATGTGGACTTAATCAAGTGTGACATAATTCAATTTTAATTATGATTATCTTAATTTCATTCAAAATACATCTAAAATACTTTATTTAATGATTTCCTTAGTAACAAACGACATTTCGTTTTACTGGAATAGACAGACACAACACGCTGCTGCAAATGCTGTCCTAAATGCAAGAAAAAAAACAAACTCATGGTTTAGAACTTGTTCTCTTCAGCACAATTCTTGAACTTTAATTCACAAACAATACATAAACATATTTGGTTTTAAACCAAATCAAAATTACATTAAAAAGGAAAATGTTATTTAAAACAAAATCCCCTAAGCTCATAAAGAAGAGAATCACAGAAAGAAGAAAGCTCTCTTCTTCATATGGAAAGCCAGTTGTCCTACAAAATGCCCAAATACACATAAAAATATTTATATATTTATATAAACTGTGCAGTCCAGCATCAATTGTTCGTCCCAGTTGCAGCGTTCTTCACTGCTTCAGCTGCTTAAGAAAGATCTCATACAATTTGTAATTAACTCCAAGCATTCATGTAGGTTCTCAATCTAGATTTTGCTTTCTTTTCTTTTTCTTTTGTTTCTTTTTTCTTATCATTACAGTTGTCCTTTTCTTCTTTTGCTTGTTTATGAACATAAATTTGGTACACTGCTTAAAGATAGTCCATACCAACTCAAAAAATAAATTCTAAGAGATATACTTTCTATTATTTCCAAAAGAAATACAGCACATCTGGACTTCCTCCATTTTCATGAATGGCTTTGTATGGCAACTTTTCATCGCTCAGTACTTCAGAGAATAAAATACCTTTGGTGATGAGTTGTCCAGGTAATTTCTTGCACTTCAAATTTGAAGATTTGCAACGAGTACCTGTTGGGTCAAGAAAAACAAGTGGTGCTATGAGTGTTTCACCCCATGATGTAAAATTTCCTTCAATGCTAAAACCCGAGTGTACTTCTTGATGACAAACTCATTGGTGCTTAAAGTGCTCCTTCCTACACATAACAAGGCTTGCTACATTATTTGTTAATATAACTTGGCGACCAACAACTCAAGATCACAATGGCATCAAATTCTACAGGAAAAAAGGGGTGAAGGGATCACCATAGACAGTTCAAGACAAAATAATATGTAACATGTTTATGAACCCTGAAAACATGATGCAGATCTGAAAGCTGTTCTGTAGTAATTTGGGCAAATTCCGGTCCAATCATCCTAGGCCGTATCTGCATCAGCTAGTTGTCTGGTGAGTTCCATTGAAAAAAAGGACCGAGACAAGATGAGCTCAGTGTGCATTACACTTCCACAATTCTACATAAGAAGTTTCCACCATATATTTTTGGTTCTCTAGAACACTAGCAAGAATAGTATTGCACTTTTTTCTCGTTAGTCCAATCAACACATGCCATCACAGGCTAAGGTGAGGAGTAGTCCACACTGCTGCCGAATAAAATAATAACATTTGAAATTCTAGCCGGTGGCTTTATTGAAATCCAAGTTCCTAATGAGTGTTAGTTTACCTCCATATCTTCTAATAAATTCTTTGACATTATACGTCTCTCAACTACATGATTCCAGAAGAGACTTAAGATGGTGCTATCACTAGCATAAGAAGCACTAAAAGACCTATAAATTTTGAGAGTAATCATCAGTCTTCTTCTGTACATTTCATCTAACATATCTGAAGTAGCATGTACCTTCCCAAGTTTCCAGTACGCATATGCTAGACTAGTGTATATAACACTATCTCCCAATATGCCCCTCTCTTGCATGAGATTGAATATTCTTTGAGCACAATCAACCTTTTCTCTTTTGCAGAACCTCCTTATTAGTGCCCTATATAATGATATATCAGCAAAAAGACCTCTTCTTATAAACTCCTCCGGAAGTTTGATAATTGCCTCTTCTTTGTGTTGATTGCAATAAATATCTACAAGCCATGAATATGTACAATAACTAGGAAATAATCCTGAATTAAGCATGCTAAATAAAAGCTCTTTTGCGTTGTCCACCTCCTGTATTTTGCAGAATCCGTGAATCAATGCGTTGTACGTAAACTTATCTAGTTTCAAACCAGCCTCCACCATCCTATTCTTCACTTTCAAAGCAGACTTCATATCCCCTATCTTGCAATAGGCATTAATTAATGTGTTACATGTGACATTATCTGGCTCAATCTTCTTTTCGCTCATCTCGTTTAGGAGTTTATTTGCATCTCTTATCCTGCCTCCCTCACACAACATACGTAGAATCGAATTATAAGTAACAACAGTAGGATACAGCCCTTGTGCTTCCATTACTTCTCTCAATCTCAATGCTTCATCAAGGTCATTCACTCTACAATACCCATCAATCAAAGTAGTGTAAGTCACATTGCTAGGTGTAAACTCTTTAATTTCCCCAAAAAGCCTCATAGCCTCTCTCATTCTACCTTCTCTGCAAAAACCATAGATAAGTGAATTATAAGTGACTATATCAGGGCTAATTCCTGCCATATTCATTCTATCTTGAACAGACAAAGCTTCATAGTGCATACCCTTTTTGCAATACAATGAAATTAATGTATTATATGTGAAAAGATCGGGAAAAACACATTTTAATTCCATTTCGCTCAACAACTTCTCTGCTTTCTCCACATCACCAGATTTACAACAAGCATGAATCAACACATTATAGACATGAATATTAGCTTCAACTCCAACTCTTACCATTTTCTTGTAAAGTTTCCATACCGTATCAGTAAGCCTATCCTTAACCAAAGAATTCAATAACACAGTGCAAGCATGCAAATGCGGCCTAAACCCACATATCCTCATGTATTCAAAAACCTGAATTGCTTCTTGTTGCATCTTGGAATTTGCATAAACTATCACAAGCCAACTAAAAACATGAGAATTCACATCTGGGTCATTATGCAGCCTCACTAAAGCACTCAAAACCGATTGATTTGACAAGAAATCCTTATAGGCAAGCTTCTCAAGCAAATTCTGTGCAGTCTTGAAGTTTTTGTATTGAGTTAAAATGTGAAGCATTGTCCATGAAGATTGTAAAGAGTGCTTATAACTAGGAATCGATGATTCAATCCATTTAAAGAACGTCCAAGAAAGAGAAGGACTATGGGTGTGTAAAGAGAGCTGCAATAGTACCTCGTTAACAGTTGTTGTGGAGAAATTAGACCCAATCTTGGGTGTTAAGAGATTGTTCCAGCCACCCTTTAGTATCGTTGCACATATGCTTTGAACTAATTGCATTTCACTGCTCAGAGAGACAAAAGCAGCCATTTTTTTATGAACTCCTGCCATGAGTTTATTGATAATTTAGGCATGAAGTGCTTTCTAGTTGTGGGTCAAAATGGAAATATGAAAAGTACTGTGGTAGATAATAAAAATATTGGGGTCCAAGTCCAACACTGGGCATTTTTGATTTGGTATTTTTTCTTTTTTGAAGATTATATTTTGAGAGAGCAAGATATGAATCTAACTGAACCAAGTTGCAAAAGAAAAAGCCCGGTGATTGAAATGGGAGTCTGAGAAATTTTATTAGGGTTCTGTTCTGTACTTTGTTGCGTGTTTTGGTGAAGGAGAAGCGGAGGCCGGGTCGCTTAAGGCGAACACTAAAACGGTGCGTTTTACCAGTTTTGCCCTCCATTAATTGTGAGGGCTAATCGGGTCAGAGCACGTTAAAAAAGAAAAGAATAGCCCACCCATCAAAAATTGGTGTGGCGCCCTACTCTCTCCTCCATAATCCTTCTCTGGAAACTGTTACAGTTAGGGTCATTTGCTTAGAGACATGAGAAACTTGAAAGAGAAGCTGGAGAAGAAGAAGAAAAAGAAGGCTGAGAGAACTAATACAGAGCAATTTCAAAAGGGTATCTCTTGCTTAAATTATCTTTCTTTTTGTAATTGTTTTCCTTTAGTATGTGTGTATATAGTTCTGTATTTTTTATCTTTTCATTCAATTTATATTGAAATGATTCAGGGGTATTGTCTGCAACTTTTGATTGAGAAAGATTTTTTTGTTATTTTGGTGAATGAAAAATTTCGTTTTCTAGCATTAGTAATCTTAGCTTGTTCACTGTAATTTACTTTATTTTGAAAATACTAATAAGGTTTTGTTTTTTTCTATTTTTTCCACTCTATTTCGCTTCATATTCATGTTGAGGCATGAAATATTTGCACACTCAACTTATGTATATTAATTTTAGATGCTTGGAATTAGTTATGTTGCTAGTGTAGTTGTTTGGCATGTGAACAAGTCCTTTTATTTTCCTGCAATTAACTGAGCTCTGAAATTATAACGTTGGAAACATTTATACTGATACATATATGTGGTACCTCAAGTGGATTTTTACGTAGTTACGTCTTTGGAATATAATTAGGCGATCAAATATACTTTAAAGCAGCAGGTATATTTACTAACAATTTACCAAAGCCCAATATCATACTTGCTGAAAGGAAATACTCTTCACATCAAACAATAATGAATTTCACGAAAAGATACTTTAGAATTTATTCATCAGTCTTTTGCAGGCCTTGGGACAATTGTCTAATACAATGGTAAAACTCTTGGATCTTGGGCTTTGCTTGAAGCCAAGCGTTAGCAAGGTCATAGCTGGGAGCAACTCCTTGCAAAAACATTTACATTGGATGATGTATGCTTTTAGTTTTTTTGAGGTGCATAATTCAATCATGGTATCCTATTTGTTATAAAAGCCAGTGTTTTCATTCTCAGCATGACTTGAATATTTAAAAAAACAAATACTTGCATAAAATAGGCTTTAGTGTTCCAATGGTGACGGGAGCTGATTCAGAAGCAAGAATATCATTACAATATTTTGGGCGAAGGTGTTAAAGTTGCTAAATACAATTTTGCTAAAACGAATAATGAATGACTAGCAGACTCGTTTTTCATTAAAGAGATCAATACATTGATAAATTCTGATTGAGATAATTCAAATAGGTGAAATAACCATTGGTTTGTACGATGAAAATATCCTTGGTTATGGACTTGATTTTCTATTTTCACCTCATCCTTGACTCATTCAATGGTTTGGTGCTGTGTTTCAAACTAGTATTATGTATACTGATGTTTAGCAAGTATTAGTGCTTGACATTTTTCCATTTCAGAATTAATGTTAAAGAAAGAGGAAAAAGGGAATGGAAATATCAAACCCATAGGAAAGGAGAAGAGGAAAAGAGAGAAGGAAAAAAATGTTGATACTGGAAAAGCTGTTTTGATCAAGAAAGGTAAAAAGCTGCAGTTAAAAATTTTATTTATTCAATTCATGATGTTTTGACTCATTTATTGGTTTCTATTGATTCAGCAGACGAACTAATCAAAGCACAAGGAGAAAAGGACAAGAACAAGCCAAGGAAAAAGAAAAGAAAAGATGAGCAGAAAAATAATGCTCTGGTTGGGAAATCTGATCAGAATGGTACTGAGACTGAAGATGTCTTTTACTTGTCTAGAGCTTTGTATTGTGTATATGCTTATGTGCACTGTTTGATAACTATTGTACTTGGCCCAACTTTTGTGTTATTTTGTTCACCAACTCATTTAGTCTGAAAATGCCATGATGCATTTATCAGTGTTGTGAGCTTCTGCATTGCCAGTTTCACTGCTTTAAATTCTTTTCTTCTTCCTTTCATTTTGCTTTTCTCCTTTGCTTTGGCTTGTTTACATATCCAACTTTTCCTACAAAATGCCCAGTTTTTGTTTAGTTTCATGCAATTCAGCATCAGTCACATTATTATTTCACAGATTTGGTTAAGTGAATATTTTCTTTTCTACATAGATGATGTGGCAGCAGAGCAGAGCCCATTTAAATCTCAAGGAGATATAAACAATTTCAAAGGGCAAAGTGAAGCTGTTATTGAAGGTGACATCAGCTCTTGTAAATTAGCTATCTCATTTGTTTGATTAATACAAAATTTCTTGAGAAAATTCAACTATTTTTTTCACGGTATTATTTCCTTCTTTTAGGTAAATCCAAGAAATCTAAGAAAAAGAAAAAGGAGCATCACACACGAAAAGATGGCGAGACCATAACAAAAGAGATAGAAGATGCTGTTCAAGATGAGGTCTTTTACATTTCTTCTGGGGAAGAGGACTGCTCAAAAGGAATGAGAAGTATGAATCCTAAATCCAGTGATGTTAGGTCTTAACAATTCAGTAGCAAACTTGCCATAAGTTTTGTTCAAATTTCACATAGAGTTGGACACCAAACCAAGGTTAGGTGTGTCTCTCGCTTGTTTTTACTTAAAATGGCATCAACTTTTAGCTTCAATTGTTGGGGCATATCCAATTTCTCAGTCCATGGCTTTGATGTCCCGTAACAGAATCCCGGCAGAGATCTGTATGATTGTCATCCATCATTGATGTCTCAAAATAGAGAATCACAGCAATCCTGCATAGACTGTATGACTGTCATTCTTTTTTAAGGGGTGCATCAAAGCCATATATTTTGTGTTTTATCCATTCCTTCTTAGCAAGGCAAAACATTTGGGGGCAGGAAGTAGCTGAAAGTTGCTTCATTCAATTGTTTGGCAGAGGTTAACTTGCAAAATATCTGTTTTATGTGCAAACTATAAGTTATTTCTTTTACATTTCACTATTATCAATGAAATCTCATGCATTATTACTTATAGTCTTACTTAGTAGTTGTACTACAGAATGGCTCATGGAATACCACCAAAGTAGACCAGGTTTGAAGGTGTTGCAAGAAAGCATAGATCAATTTATAACTGCACATGAGGAAAAACTTGAGCAGGTATCCTTCTCTAATGCGTTTCTCCACTAATTCTTTATCGACAACATGTGAAGTATATATATATATATATATATATATTTTTAATCCTTGAATAGTTGCCCTGAGTGATTTGCACACATTACCAGCTCCATCTTTTAACATACTGCTTTTTTGTGCTTACAAATATGGATGCTTGTATAGAAGAACCTTTCTTTTAGTTGTTTCATATGGAAATTTTTACAGCTGATGTAGTTTGTCCCATTCAATGAATGCACTAGTGTGATGATGTGGGGAAATAGACTGCCCTTATTTTAAGCTGCAAATTTCAGCGTTTACTTGCCCCTCGTTTCTCTTTGCTAATTAGAATTGGAAATTGATGTGCATATTCTGTTGTTAGATATGATCAGTGTCACGTTTTTGTCTTCTGCCTTTTTTAGTTTTCCTTATCCATTTTCTTTTTCTTGGTGGCAAATGTGCACACATTGTTTAATTTCTCATTTCTCTTGTTACATTATGGTGCAGGAACGAAAAGAAAGAGAAGCACGTGCTGCAGAAGATGGATGGACAGTTGTTGTCCATCATAAAGGAAGGAAGAAGACAACAGATTCTGAAAGTGGAGTTACAGTAGGCTCTGTTGCCCCAACTGTTGCAGAGAGCCAGCTAGCCAAGAAGAAGCAAAAAGAAGTTGGGCCAAACTTCTACCGTTTTCAAAAAAGAGAAACTCAGAGAAATGGTATGAACTTGCAAGTTGCTCACTTCTTTTGTATTGCATACTGTTGCAGAAAATAAGTAAATAAAATGCCATGTTGTTATTGACATGTGCGTGCACCTTTAGATACATGATGCAATGATTCGCATCTACATTCCTCCTCCAAGCAACACTAGGCAATAGCTCATGTCTTTGTTTGCACTGGCATTGACATGATGATTTGGATCAATCAGACGCGTCTATGTCTTCAAATGGACTTGGCATGAACTCCTATAAATGTTAATTGCTTCATTTCCGTGCAGAAATTTTGGCACTACAAAGCAAATTCGAGCAGGATAGAAAGCGGATTCAGCAATTGAGAGCTGCTAGAAAGTTTCGACCATACTGACAGCTGCTGCAGAACTCACCCAAAGAATGGAGCTGAAGCTGAAGTTGAAGCTTCAGCTTCTAATGATATCAGTTTTTTTGCAATAGGGGAAACAGAGGGCTAAATTCACAGCATTTTGCAATTCTTTTTTCACTTTGAATTTATTGGAGATATCAAATATTGTAATTCGTAGATCGCAAGATATATAAGTGATAATGTACAATTTTCCCAGAATGTACTTAACTAAGATGAATGATTTTGCAACTTTGATAAATCCTAGATGACCCATGGTGCCACACCGTTGTAGCCCTATGGACCAACGAAGTAAGGCTATTGGAGACGAGAATAGCACGTTGGATGGTATTTGGACCAAGAATATGAGAGGGAGGATTTGGCGTAATGCTTTCTGCTGCCCCGGGGTCGGCATGCGGGATCAAGGCCTAGTGCTCTAGGATGTGGGCATCATGTTTTGTCAAGAGTGACTGATGTCTCTGTAGAGAAAAAGCTCTATGGACACTATAGGACCGAAGGCTTATAGTGCGTATCTCTCCTAAAGTGAGTGTTTCGGTATAGATAGTTCTATGCTGCAGGGGATGCTTTAAGGCCTTGAGCCCATACACGATTGTGTGGGATTTTTATATATGCGTTGTAAGATGAGTTCTACGGTTGGATGTTATGTATCGATGGCAAAACCAGGAATTTAGATGAGAGAAACAAAATTTATCTCATCCATTTATAATAGATTATGCATAAAATATAATTCTTTTAAACCAATAATAACAATTCTGCGTAATTTTATGGTGCACAATTCTGATAAAATAAAGATTTTTATTTTTTCAAAACAAAAAAAAAAAAATTTATTTGCAATTTATTATCTTCATATTTATTTATGTATTTGTCATAAAGAAAGATGGGAATCACACAAAAAGAAAGGCCAACCACAGCCATAACCGCGACCTTAGCCAGCTGCCTGCAATTTTCCATCAACTGCTCCAACGCATGCTGACAATCTTCTTTTTATCCTTTTCTTAACTTTCATATTTGCTTTTGAGACTCTTTAAGAAAGCAATTTTTGCCACTTTAACTTGTCTGTGCAGAGAACTAGTCCTTATATAGGCACCACCTTTTTTTCATTAAGAAAATTAAAACCTAAACTCTGATTAAAAATTAAAGTATGAGCAATCATACTTGCATTATTTATGCTAATGATTAAAGCCAATTCACATCCCACAAGCAAACAGAGAGTCAAATTAGCATCCTTATGTCATTTCTTATAAGATTACATTCCCCACAAAAATACAATTATAATCATTTTAGCATAATGAATATTGTCAAGTAGCCTATTAGATAGAAGTTTCCTTGAGCTTCAGAAATTGGATGCCACATTGACATATTTTGATGCTCATAAACTAGAAAAACTAAAAGATGACAAGTATTAAGAACACAAATCGCAAAAAATAAAATTGTGGAATGCTTATTTAGTATATATGTTTAGGATTCCACAGCCAATACAAATGTAAAATAAGACCCAATTAAACAGTAATAATAGAAGGAAAAACATAGACTTTGACTCGGAGCATTCAAATGACAATGCTCGTAATATATAACCCCATCTCACACCGCTTTATTCAATTTAAAAAGCAGAAAAGAAAACAACATATAATAAAAATAATAACTATTCAACTTCCTCGTCCTTCTCATCCTCACTCCAGCAACATTTCAGGATTGACCTTGGAGATGAACAGCCTTTGGTTTTCACAAAACTCTGATAGATGATCGATCCACCCTTCCCAAGAACTTCATAGTTACTGCCTCCGCAGGAATATCCCTTCACATCCAGAGACGACATAAGTCCAAGTTCATCATGCACAAAGTCAGAATGCAATGCAATGGAGAACTCGGCCGGTTCAAAGCAAGCCAACACCCTTTCGAGCAGCAGAGTTAATTTCACTTGTTCAAGATTGTAACCAACAGCTTCAAAGCTTGCATAGCTAAATCCGTCTTCCGGAGTAACATGGATTGTAGAAATTGCACCCCCTTCGATGGAATTCATAGAGTAGCCACAAGGCTCAAAATCAAAATCACATATCTCAGATTGTGGAAGGATTTTCCTGATACCAGATTCCTCGGTCATCCCAGCAGCTGAACTTGCAGGTGTCTTGTAAAACACAGATGCTCGGTCTCTGTCCAAGCCAGTCATGCACATTTCTAGAGTTTGAACAGAGCTAGAGTGGCGCCCTGTGTCAAGAGAAGCAGAGTAAACATGCCATTTTTGGGTTTTGTCAGGACTACCCATCACATATGCCACACTCTCCAAACCAAGTTTGCCAAAATGGCCATCAAGGACAGCCACCTCCTCAGAGAAGCTACGATGCGGAAAAGACTGAGCCCCAGGAAATATGAAGCTCCCGCGAGAATACCTCACAGAATGTACAGTGAGTGAGAGGGTACCAGCCAATTTAAGAATTGCTGGGATTGAAAGAAGCAATTTGGTAGTCCCACAAGTTTTGATGATAACTTTGTATGGGTAAATAAAGAGACTAGATTCTGAAAGAACATAAGAGTCAACATGATCATTTGAAAGAGAATCAACAATGGTGCATTCAGCTGGCTTTAGAATCTCATCTATTTGAGCTTTGGACAGAGAACGGAGGCCCATCCCTCCGGGGTCAGCAAAGAAGCCAGGCTCAGAAAAGGACACTTCAAGCCTCTTTTCATAGCCTTCAAATCCAATAGCAGAGGTAGGCAAGGCCATCTTGCCTCAGAGGAACAAATAACACTTGTGAAGGAGTATGAGAGAACGAGGTAAGTAGAAAAGAAATGCAGAATAAAAAACAATATTGTAAGTATGAGAGCTAAGACGGGGATATATGTTCACAGTTGGGCGATCTCAGGATGGCTTCCTCACGCACTGCATAAGCCAAAAAAAAAAAAAAAAAAAGGGGCCTCACGCACTGCATTAACCAAAAAAAAAAAAAAAAAAAAGGGGATCAGGAAACCCAATTTACATGAAAAAATCAACTTTTAGGTAAAAACTGAGAAAAAAGGAAACTCACGTTGCAAAAAAAAAAAAAAAAAAAAGGGGATCAGGAAACCAATTACATGAAAAAATCAACTTTATAGGTAAAAACTGAGAAAAAAGAAACTCACGTTGGAGTAAGCAGCAGATCTGAATTTCTTGATTCCACCGTGGGGTCGCACGTCTTCAATGCTGTAACCGAGAGGAGCTTCGTAGAATAAGGATTTACTACTGCTAGACTTCTTCTTGCCACCTTTAGACTCCATTAGTTCATTCAGTCTTTCCTGCCAGAATACCCGGTACATATATCAGCACCAGATATGATCTCACAAATCACTAGCACAATACCATGGAAATAACACAGCAGCAATGATATTTTGAAAGGATTACCAATTCTAAAGTATTAGAGAACTAACATGACCTTACCTTTTAATTTGACAAGACTTCTATAGTTTAAAAAGGATCTCTAAAACAACAAAGGCGAAAGCTTTGTTTGCAAGCACTTTCAACAAAATTAACAAAATGGACAAACAGCAATTCATTAAAAAAAAAAAAAAAAGAGAAGGGGTGAGGATTGAAAAGGATAAACATGCAATCCAAAAAAAGGATTACTTTTCATCCCCTTGGATTCATCTCCAAAAAAAGTGTTTTTGGAGATCCAAACAAAAGTTTAAATTAAAAGGAAACCATTATTGAAATGATAAGAAAAACGATACAATTACTCAATTCATCACAGAAAGAATAATAAATCAAGAATCCAATATACACTCATATACAGAAATAAAAACGAATACTTGCAGATCGATAACATAAACACTTACCAATAAATACAATATAATCCAATCTGAAAACTTGAATTCCTCTTGAAAACCTTCCTTTTGTGAACCTCAAATCAAACCCTAGAAACCAAAAACACAAACCAACGAATCAATACCCAAAATTGAAAAAAAAAAAAAATCCACAATTTACAATAATAAAATCAACAGAAGACAATTGAAATACAAAAACGAAGAACAACATATTACCGATCAGAAGAAACGGTGAAGAGCGATAAAAATAAGCAACGAGAAGCTCCTTAAATCTCCAATAATTTCTCGAAACAGAGACTCGTATGTTAGAACGCTACCTTTTCTTGCGAGGCAAAATGGAAAGAGTCTGGCAAGGCTTATATAGGAAAGTAAGAAAGCGATTTGCTCGTTACAAAGGGTGTACAGCTGCCCCCAGTTTTTCAGAAAATTACAGTCATAGCCTCGCAATTTTTAAGTATCTTTTTGTATAAATGAATTTTCCTCCAAGAATATATTAGTGCCTGCCACTTATTTTTCGAATTGCAATGACTAAAATACCCTTACTTGCGCTGGCTTGTAGTTGCGCCACCTATATTTACGCAGCAGATGCGTGGCAGTTTGAAGTGGTGAACCGCGTTGAGGGCTATTTTGGATATTTAAAATTCTATTTTCTGCGGTTGCAATTTATTCAGTTAAGAGTCCAGATTTTGTGGCCTAAATTAGATGTGAAAATTTATTTTCAACACATCATTTCAGAGGAAAATTTTATCTTCTGGTACTTTTAATAATGCTATTTGTGGCTATTGACAAGTGTTTGGTGAATTTGTAAAATGGATTATTATCTGTCCCCGTGACTGAAAATTTTATTAATTTCTTTTTTAAATAGTTAATTCTATTTTTTGAGATACTAAATAATAATAAAAGTAATTATATTATTGTTTCTTTTACGAAATTAATATTTTGCCAATTAAACCAATTTAGTTAGCCTTCTCACTAATGTAAATAGTGAAAAATTTTGATTTTAAATTTTATCGACTGTAAGAATACTTTGATTCGTTTTGATCATAAGAGTTTTCAACAATTTTGATCATTAGACTTTCTATGAATTAAAAAAGAAGTTGATAATTTTTTTCTATTTTTTTTCTATAATAGTCTTTTATCCACAATTTAAGTGGTTTTGGAAAAATTAAAAAATAATTTTTTGAAGGTAAACTATTAAAAAATAATTAATTTAATATATTAATTATTAATAATGTGAGATAAAAAATAATTTTATTAAATTAATGAACTTGTTAAGGAGGTAATATAAACTTACTCGATAATACATCTTGTTGTATATAAAAAGAAAAAAAAAAAAAGAGAGAATTAATTTCAACCACCACAACAAAATAAAAACACACTACTCTTTTCTCTGCAGTTTCATCTTTAAGAATCCCACGTGTTCTCTCAGAAAGAGAGATACACATGGATTTGGATTTGAATTTGAATTTGGTTGTGAATTTGAATTTGGGTTTTGGTTTATTTTTATTTTTTTTATATGGAAATTGTGATGAGATGCAGTGATCATTCTTTCTTTCTTTTCTTTCTTATCCTTTATTGCATTCAAAATTTAATACATCTTTTATCTTCACTCATCAAACTATATTATTTATTTAGAGTTAATTCAGCAATATTAACTGTTCGTTAACTATTAATTTTTAGATGGTACTGTCAAAAAAAAAAAAAAATTAAAAACCACAAAGTAACAAACGCCACCTAATATTTTAAAAGGGTGTATATAAAATGAGTGTTTTTAATTTAATTATTACAACTGAATATTAATAATCAATAATTATAAGTTAAGTTTAGCTCATCCATGACTAATAACTAAATGTTGAAACATATAAACTAAGGATTGATAACTCAAATTTTCCAATAACCATTCCGACCACCCAAGATATTGGTAAAATTAATCAAATTCATCAGTTTAATAATTAAATTTACTTTTTACTTCAGTTGTTAAAATTATAAAAATTAAATCAACCAAAAATCAAGTAAAAAATTATTATTATTATTATTATCATTTTATAAAAATTTAGGATTTATTCTAACACAATAATTGCCGTATTTACGAAATTGAATGAGTTGGAATTTATTTCTATCTTCTTATTTCCTACTGTTGTGCTTTGTCGTTATACTTGCCACGTTTCTCTTGCGTGGCTGCTTGGATTGGGTTGCAGGGGCATCTATACGGTCCTACTTTCTAAATAAAGGCCTTTTTTTGTTTTTTTTATAAATTTTCTAGAATCGTGTATTGTTTGCAATAATTTCTTTTTCCTGTGAATAAATTATTTCCACATATGACCTTCAGATTACAAAGGACAACCATACTAGTCACCATCCTCCAGTTTACCTTTACCTACAAATTGTAGAAAAAGAGATTCCCTGCTATATATGGGACTACTTTTTGCCCCTATTTGGTATGCTTTAATTGGGAGAATCTATTCTTGCTGGAATCTTCTTATCAGAACACATCAGTTTCTTCTCACCAAACTTACATACAATGCTACCAAATTAGTTTCTAATTAACACCTAATCAAACACAAGGCTATAGTTAGTAAAAGCTCAAGGACACCTCAAACCTTATCAGCACCAAATACTTGAGGATAAGGATGCTATATCAGTTACATAATCTTCATGAGCTGGACAGGAACCTACTCTCCAAAATTATATATGTTAAATTAAGCAAGTCATCTTAGCTTGCTTTAATGCATAGCTGTAAGTGAGCCAAGCAGCTCATGAGTTGCTCCAAGTTCAGTTTAGTAAAAGCTCGCTTGAGCTCGAGTACACCTTTAATGAGCTCAACAGTACTCGGCTTGACTTGGCTCATTACAGCTGTATGCATAACAAGCACATTATCATAGTGAACTAACGAGGCAAGGCATACTTGTATGCAAGTTTTCTGAGGAAAAAGGTTTATTATCATATTAATCACTATCACACATGTGAAAATCATGAGGAGAATTCAGTCCTAATAGGAGATGAGTCAGATGATTCCATATGAACATTGCTATCACCCTACTGTTTCTTACAAAAGAGATCCCACATAGCGCGTCATTTAAATGATATATTCAACTATGAACAGTCACCAATGCTGGAAGGAATATTTGATATCCACATCTTCATTTCAGGTGACTGCATTGAAAAAAGTAATAGAAGAATCAGAATGTATTAATTAACTAAAGGAACTTCTCCAAAGAAGAGAAAAACCTTCATTGTGACTCTTTCTGGTTCCCACTATGTTTTGGAGGTTGAACTGGCTTTCCGGTCTGTTTGTCATACTCCTGCTTCAGTTCTTCCAATCGCTTGGACACCTGACTCATTAACCCATTCACGTAAACACATTTGCATCAATGATGCAATTCGAAGGTAGAGAAACAATTAAGTTGAAAGCTTAGTAGCGCAAGGGTACAAGGATCACATATGTGAGAGATGGATAAAAAATAGTACTCAAAACATTGGGCTTAAAGTAATTATTTGTGCGATTACCGCAACCCTTTCAAGATATCACATCTACTTTAAACCTATATGTATTGAAGATAATAGCTACCAATTGCCACCACTCACCATTTGAAAATCTGAGGTGGAGGTTATTGATTGACACCACTAGTTGTACAATTATTGGGATGTCCAGTATGAATGGATGATTCTTATTCCAAAACAGTTGTACTGGATGCAAAGCTCTAGGGTTTATTCTAAATTTCAGCGGAGCCCAAAAAAGGTGCACATGATAACAGCTGGAGTTTCTGTACCGTTTTATGTTCTTGTTTGCTTCTTAAGCAGTGGAAGTTTCAGATTATGAAATGATCTTAGCCTGTAACTGTAGCACTGGTTCAAACCAAATAGCAATCTATAAACGTTGATATTTAGTCTTCTTAAGCTCTTTTAGTTAGGCTTTCAAATATGTGTTATTGGATTAAGTATCAGCTCGTATTAGTAACGCTTTTTTTTTGACTTTTGCTTTTGCAAATGAAGCAAGAGGAGAAATTCTTGCAGCATAAGCAGCACTAAGATTACTTTAGCACAAGCCGCCGAAACATGAAGTGCAATATGAGAGATCCAGAAAGGACAAAGTAAAAAAAAAAAACACCCATTGGTACTAAGATTAGGGTAGATTAAGTGCAGAATACGGTTATCACATGACAGCAATTAGAGATATAGGACCTTAGCAGAAATTCCGTAGTAGTAACACCTTTGCTGTTCAATATGCCTAACTGAATCATTAAAATTTGTACCCAGCCATCACAAATATTAATTATTAGTTCTATACAAAAGGTCACATCATACAAGCAGCATGTGTGTTTCTACTTTCTACAGTAAAACATATGATGGTAGATAAGGACAGCATTGCACATAATGTAACAAACACAAGTATGCGCGCGCGCGCGTGTGTGAGAGAGAGAGAGAGAGAGAGAGAGAGAGAGAGACCTTGAATGAGTAAGCCATTGGTAATAGTGTATCTGGATCCATGGCATCCTCAGGGAAGTTACGCAAAGCATGTATTAATTTCTCAAAGGGTAATTTTACCTGATAAAAAGATGAACAATGTTAATGAGCAGAAAATATACGGTTTATAAAATTTGATCAGGTGCAGGAAAGTAGGACACTAAATACGCACCAAGTCATCATGGCAATATTTTAATAGAGCCAAACCCACTTTAAAAACGATTTTGACACCCTGGAAAGGAAAACAAACCAATTAATGAAGGTAAGTGAAAAAAAAAAAAAAAAGACACTAAATACGCAACCAAGTTCATCATGGCAATATTTTAATAGAGCCAAACCCACTTAAAAAAACGATTTTGACACCCTGGAAAGGAAACAAACCAATAATGAAGGGTAAGTGAAAAAAAAAAAAAAGATAAAACGTTACTAAGAACTAACCTCATAGAGGAAAGGAAAGTCCCAAATTCGAAGAAGCCAAATGAATGGGGAAAGAGAAGAGGAAAATTTGAAAAAAAAAAAAAAAAGATAAAACGATTACTAAGACTAACCTCATAGAGAAAGACATCCCAAATTCGAAGAGCCAAATGGAATGGGAAAGAGTAAGAGAAAACAGTTATAAACCACTGACTTGCATACATGCTAGGATTTATCATTTCTCGGGTGAAATGTTCTCCCAGCTTTGGCATATGCTCCTTCACCAAGTGGTCAAACTGGAAAAGGTATTGTTGTACAAGAGGCAGCCCCACCTATAAAAAATTAAATAAAATACACTCTCAGAACTAAAAAATCTGCTTTAGATTGCCCAAGAATAGTAGATGAGGCTGCATGCTCCCAGGTTCTAGCTCAAATGGTTAAAGGGAAGGGACCAGGTGTATGTTTTAGGCAGACACAAAATGCGAAGCAACTACCTAGCATTTGAAAGGGGTGAACTTCATGCGAAGGGAACAAAGATGAAAAACAAATTTGAAAGGACCCACAAAAGAGAAAACAAAATTCTATTTTGAACAGTAAAACTTTCTCCATAATCAAAATTTCAAATTGTCAAGATGAGCTCAAAAGCATCCGCAAGACCCCCATCAATATTTTGTGAAAGTTAAAACTATTTCCACATGATGGCCCTTTATTTGTGAATTGTTAATCTTAGATAGTCCAACAAAAATGCAAAAGAAAAGCACACTCAGAACATTCTATCCATTTAAAAGGAGCACCTACAAATGAGACTGATTATCCAGTACAACAGAGTGATCTAACTAATCCAATATTAAACAGAAATTGATAATCTATTGCATTTTGGGACATTGGGACTTGAAATAGAACTTAAGAGAAGGAAAGTTCAATAAGTTGATGCTGAATAGCACACCAAAATCCATCAAGCTTTCAGTTGAATCCACCATCATTAGCATCATCAGTTGCATGAAACTCGAGATACACACGTAGGGGAAGGTTAAATACTCATGACATGACATAACAATATTTTAAAAGCTCAAAGGTTGAAAATTTCTGGAAAATATATGATTGTCCAAATACATCATCTTCATGATCCTAGAATGTAATGACGATAAGAGACACCATCTGAAACTAGAACAACAATTGGCGAGAGTCATAAAATGGCAAAAGCAGGAATCAGATAGGTGGTTTAGGAGTAAAACGAAATTGCAGAGCCACATAACACAAAAGTTGGATACCAATTGGATTAGAAGACTTCCGACAAATCTGACTATCAATTATGATCTATAAGACTCTTCTTTTGTTAACAAGTTGTACCCAGCCAACTCAAGATCCAATTGCAGGGGAAAGTATCATGAGTTTTTGACACACCACTAGATAATATTCTTAGAGATAAGATGCATATGCTACAGCAGATTAATACAACCATAATTTGATGTTTGCCTCAGTAAATTGATTATTTAAAACATGGAATTTTGCTCATCCAAATTCTTCTACAAACCTTGGATTCAAGATCGCTTGACAGTTACAAACATATATGATTTGCAGAACATTAGTGTCATGTAGCTAACAAACTAGCTGATTACAAGCTCACAATCCAATTGATGATGAGAAGGAGCTCTAGTAAAAGATGAATTACCTGATATAATCCTTCCATGGGAGCATGGACAGCTCCTTTCAGTAATGCAACCAACAACCAAAATGCATCTTCTTCACTCATGTAAAGAAGCAATAGACCTGCTAAAAATCCCATTCCCTGTATTTTTAATAATTCCAATGTCATTCTTTATTCAGTATTTCAAGCAAATATTGGAGCAGGAAAGGTAAGAGGCATACCTGAACGTATCCAACATCTCTATCAAAGACAGAGTATGCCTTCAAAACATTGTAGAGGGACCTTTGACCAGGTCCATGTCTCTGCTGGAAGAATACATGTGAAGGGAAGGTGCGAGAAATATCTCGAATTATATCCAGCTCTGACGCTGATGTCTCATATATAACTAATTGCTGCAATAAACATAGAGTTTTATCAGCACAATAAACAAAACTAATGCTTGTGTGTGTAGCACCTAAACCACAAGGGAAAGGAGTACAAGTGAAAATTAAACCAAAAGAAAAAATGTTTAACGAATCATCATAAATCAAGAAAAAAAATATCCATTCAACCAATGTTCGAAAGCAAATGATATAGTGACAACCATCTATCATCACAATTGCAGTCTTCAGTTCAGTCTTTATGAACTCAAGAATCAGAATTTGAAATAGTTACTTAAATAAACCTTAAACATTACACATTTGCATATCCAAAGATAAAGAAACCTACAATGCTAAAAAGAAAAATGAATTGTAACTTATATCCAAAGCTTGACAGAAGCAGAAACACATCTTAATTCTGTTTGTTCTTTCCTGGACAGTGTATGGGTAAGGCAGGAAGCATTTCTAAGCATTCCAAAGCTCATAAAATATTCTCACATGTAGGTCCTTCCAGAAGTTCTACAAGCCAAAAGAGTTGACTGGTACCTCCATATAAAAAAGTCTTATGCTTAATAACAAAGTCATGTAATCAGACTCAACCAGTTATTGCAATAAGTTCTTTTCTTCACAGATACTCAAATTGTCAGCTACCAAGAATTTAATTAAATATATTTCTACAAAAATAAAATAAAATAAAACCTAATATAGACAAGTTCATGGCCTTTGTGGCACTTGCAAAGTTCAGAAATTCAGCACATTATCCAACCATACACTCGTACTATTAATATCTGCCCCACACAAGTGAAGCACTAGTTCAGACTCTGTGAGTAGCAACGGACTTTCATTTTGGCAAAGCTGTCACGCCTCATTCAGAAACAGCCAGTATTTGTCATGTGACTTCATTCTCAGCTAACTATTTAGATATCAGTTTAAATTAAAAATACTAACAAGGAATACCATGCATCATGTGCCCATCACCCCCATGTGTTGCAATAAAATAGACATCGAGACAATTCAAGCAAGGCCCATTGCAAACTAGAGCAAATCAGTACAAAAGTACCTCATAGACCCCAGGATTCATCAGCAGAAGGTCTCGACTTCCAGAGATCAACTGCCAAACAAGACCCCTTAAACAATCTGGAATTCCCTTTCTTATACGCCTCTTGACCACATGAGGTTTTCTCCTAACATAGTGCTTCCAGTCACTTCCTCCAACCCCAATCATCTTCCTCCATTTTCTTACCCTTCTTTCCTCCCTTAACAAATTTGTATGGTCCATAATAAAAGATCAACGTTAATGTCTACTAGCATAAGGAAAAGATCCATACATGAAACCTCAATGAAATTCCAACAGAAAAAATTCAAATGATTTACTGGGAAAAGAAAATCAAAAAGAAAATCTTTACCTCCCAAACTCATAGGCTGACCTGCCCTTGGTTAAGCTGTCTGGAGGATTATTAAGCTCTTGCTTTACAAAACCAAATCTATCTAATGGTTTTGTTGAAGGAAGTGGCCCCTGTTCATAGTCGTCTGTTCTTTTCTTTTCCATTTCACCTAGTCAAATAAACTCTGGTATGCCACAAGGCAAAGTATTCAAGTCTGGTTTCCTTGGCATTGTGATATAAAAGAGCTGGAAGGATTAAAAAACAGCTTTATTCATAATTCTAAATTTAACACATTGAAATGGATATTGAAACCCGATGTCAAGTACCTCTCTTATTATGCCATTGCAAATCCATTAAAATATCAAATTAGGTGAACCATTAGTCATTGTGGTTAAAACACAGTGAGACTACAGCAGATGTTAACAACTATACTAATGAGTATTCTTTCCTTCAACAATGTGAAACAGACGAATGCAAGTACCCTGTTAGACACAAACAACTTGAGTAGTTATTCAATTTATATCATTCCAGTATAGCTGTTTAAAAACAACAATAACATAAAAGGAAAAAGAAAGCCTAATAACCAAAGACAGAGGTATTACAGCAAATAATAGCTACACACATCTATACAATGACCTGCATTCCTTGATCTAACTCTGGAGTATGGTCAAGGAGGTAAATCGAGTCTAAGAAGCAAATGTGAAAACAGAAAATGTTTCGCACAAATGGCTAAAAGAAATCAAAATAAATATAATTCAACAAAAAACAATTAATGGGACTTCCTTACAAGCCTAAACAGATAACTAACACAATTCCTGAAATAACAAAATCATATAAAACTCCCAAATTCCAAGACTACAAAAGTCAACAAAAAAATATTTCTAGAATCAGAACAAAGAATGCAATGAACTAGCAATGAAACATGAAAAAAGAATGAGCAGAAACCCAATTCAGAAACTTTTTACGTAGATATCCAATGGATAACCCTATAATAGATTCACTGCTGGGTAGAAGAAATCCAAAAACCTAGTGAGTGATTGTGGATAAAAGTAAAAAGAAAGATATAGAAAACAAACCTGGGTTTTGGGGATTTCGAATTTGGGAAGCTATAGAAACTTCTTCTGATGATCTAAACACGAAATTCTATGTAATACTACTGTCAGAAATACCTGTAAAATTCTTCTTTATTTTTTTTTTCTTCGAAAATATATGCAATTAAGACAGAGGGAAGTTAATTATTTATGTAATATCTATATCAAACCATTTATCTAAGACTGGTAGTTTTCCCGAACCAATTGGAGCTTGACGCGTGCGTTTCAGAAAAAATGAGAAAAAGATGATCGACAATGAAAAATGATAACAGTAAAGAACGCGGGGAAAGAACCAAAACGACTATCTGTACAAATTGTCGTTTCGGTCTCTTTTTGATTTTTTAGCAGTTCAAAAAGACAACTTAAAACTACGGGCCTTAGATTACTCCAATTACCCCGCGCTCGTCTGAATCTAAAGAGAACAATCTACAGCTTAAAACGTGGATATCTAATACGAGCCGTCAGATTTTCTTGTAAACCCAAGATTTTTCTTATCTTCCCCGCCTAGTAGTACTGGGTTGTCAAAGCTTCTAAAGATTCACCTCCATTTCTACAATCTGATAAAACCAGGTAAAGAACCTCTTGTGAGCGTTTGGTATTTGTCAAAGCTTTATATGATTCCTTGCAGAATTCAAGTGATAGACTCATTGTATTAATGGGAATTCTGAGATTTTTTTGGTAGAGAGTTACTGTTACTATCGTTCTTGTCCTGCAGAGATATGGCTACTATTTCTGTTGTTTGTAATAATGGGTTATTGAATAAAAAGAACTTAGGAGTTAGTAGCGGAAACAATAAGCCTCTGAGAAGATACACAAGTGTTTGTTATAATTCAGTTTTTATCCCTTCAGTGGGAATGTATACTATTAGCAATTCCCTGGTACTTTCTAGGAATAAGTTTAGGTCACTTTCTAATGAGAAAAATGAAGTTCCTTTATTTGGTTTTTGTGTTTCCTGTAAGTCTCAATTTGGGTTATCTTGTCATAATGATATTGGACCATTGAGGAATGGAAATAGGGGAAATGAACAAACCCATTTGAGAAAAAGAATTATTGCTGGTTTGAGAAAGAGGTTTTCATTGAGATTGCGTCCAAGATTGCGGTTGTTGATGATAAGATTGAAGAGGGTTTCAGTTAGGTCAATGTTAAATGATTTTGGGATGTTTTTGAGAAAGAATATAAAGAGATTGACACTTTATTCTTCAATTTCTATTGCACTGGGGATGTTTTATTTGTTTTTGAGGTTAACTGCGTTGCCATCTCCAAAGATTGTTCCATATTCAGACTTGATAAAGAGCCTTCAAAATGATTCTGTTGCAAAAGTTTTACTTGAAGAGGGATCTCGCCGTATATATTACAACGCAAAATCTCAGGACACTGAAAACACTCAAGATCCAGAAGATAAACTTCCAGTAATAGATGTTCCCGATGAGAATGCAGCTGATGCAGTTGGAAGAGGAGGTATTGCAAGTCCTACTGGCCAAAAGTATAAAGTAGATATACTGAAGAAGTTCTCAAGACGAGCTTCAAGTCCTGAGTGGCAGTTTTGTACAAGGAAAATAGACCATGATGAGAAATTTCTTCTTAGTTTGATGAGAGAAAAGGGAACAATGTACAGCTCAGCCCCTCAATCAGTTTTAATGTCGATGAGGAGTGCATTGATAACTATAATTTCTCTCTGGATTCCTTTGACTCCTTTGATGTGGCTCCTCTATCGTCAGCTTTCTGCCGCTAACAGCCCTGCAAGGAAGCGGCGACCTAATAATCAGATGGTCACTTTTGATGATGTGGAGGGTGTTGATGCTGCTAAGATAGAACTTATGGAGGTAAGCAGATCTTGTCTTCAAATAATATTATAAATATATTATGTTGTTGACATGTTGTTGCTCAATTACCGACTTGATGTTGCATTTGGTGGGGGTGGGGGAGGGGGGGGATTGATGTTTGCATTTTGGTGGGGGTGGGGGAGGGGGGGGAGTGGGGTGATGGGTTGTGACAATTGTCATTTTTCGTTTTGGCAGCATATCAATAAAAAATGTCCAGGCATCCGCATTTAATAGTTTATTTTTTGTGGACGGATTATGTATTGTTAGAGACTATAACCTTCTCCATGGATGTAACCATTGGCTAAAGGGGGTGGGGGAGGGGGGGGAGTGGGGTGATGGGTTTTGACAATTTCATTTTTCTTTTGGCAGCATATCAGTACAAAACTTTCCAGGCATCAGCATTTAATATTTATTTTTTGGACTGATATGTATGTTAGAGACTATACCTTTCTCCATGGATGTAACCATTGGCTAAAGCTGGAAAGTGCATCTTTGATTCCTCTGAAAATTCTTTCCTTTTGAAACTAAATAACATATTTAATGCATTAGAAACTAAAAATCCAAAGGGCTAGTGAAGAATGCTTTTATTCTTTAACATTACTAGTTTAGTTGTCTTACAAGTCCGAAATAAAATATCTTGACATCTTTTGATTGTAGAAACATAATTAACTACTATGTTTATTACACTGTGGCTTCCTGCCACTAGCACGTTTAGGATGGCTTTACATTCTTAACTTGAAAATTTCCAATCAGATTGTTGAATTGCTGAATTATTGAACATGATAGAACATTCATATTGCCCTCTGAAAGAAAGAAAACTTTAAAAGGAATTATTTTCCACATCAGATATTGTAGGATTATCCCTAGATATGGTAAATAGTGTGAAATTTTGACAAGAGAAATTATCATCACATTATTTCACCATCAACAATTAGAGCATGTGAACTTCTGAGTAAGTCCATCAATTGATTCCATCATTTTATATTTCAAAATCCAGTATTCAAAAGGGAAAGCTAGTTAATATAATATGGCCCTTGGGCATTTTGTTTGAATTAGGATTTTAATATTGAAATGGCATTGGCATATGTTAATTGAATTTAACTATCAAAAGTTAGAAGAAGCATCACATTGTGTTGAAGTAATGAATTTGCCATTGAGAATTCTTGATCTCTCTCAATATCTCTCTCAATTCGAAAATCCGGGATTTGAGAATGGTTCTGCCCAAATATTCGAAAATGATCAAAGTTTAATACTCTTAACCACGACTAATGGTTTCACTGCTTCCCCTTAAGAGAATGACCTCTCTTTGCCGTTCTTATATTTCCTTGTATTTCCTATGCTTAAGGACATTCTCACTTGTTATTCTCATTAGTTTCCTGATTCTATTTGTATCATCCTAACTCTGTCCAAGTCAAAAACTTCGTAAAGTTTGAGGATAAATTACCATTTAATCCATCAGTTTGTTTCTTTTTTTTCTTTTTCCTTTTCTTTTGTGTGTTTGTGTGTGTGTGTTCCTTTCTTTCTCCATTTGGTGGTAGGATTGGGAGAGTGTTTGGGATGAGATGGTAGCTGAATTGGGATGACCATTTTCTTTTCATTCTGATTTTAGTCTCAGTTCTCTCTTTTCCCCTGTTTTGCATATAAAGGCTTTCTTAATTTCTGGGAGTTACTTTATGAAGTTCTTAGAAAAATTCAGGCCGATATACCATAGTCTAGTTTATTGTAGTCATGTAGACCATCTAAAACTATGCATAATGAATAGGAAAGTCAAGATATTGATACAACCTCTTAATGTAATGGTTAAAAATGTCAACTGGCATCTAAAAACATGATAAGGCTATGAACAAAGTATGAAGCCTTAAAACTATTCTATACATTTCTTCTAAAACAAGTTGTGTGCAGGATGCTTGGCTAGTTTTGAGCATAATTCCAACTACTAAGGGTAAAGTTACCTTCCTTAACTTTCCCTAGAAATATATCAATAAGAAAACATTATCTTATATGGATTTCTTAACATAGAGTTTTGAGGTGTCTCAGCTATTGAAATGGGATTGGGAGCAAACGTTAAGATGGGTTGTATATGTCGAAAATTTATTTGATGTATGGTGACGGAATACATTAAATATTTGACAATTATGCTTGTACTCTATTAGTAGTGAGGCGTAAGAATGTGATAAGGAGTATGGAACTAATTATTCTGAGAATCATCTGTAACCAAAGTGAAATATTCTCTTCTAATGAACACTTCATTAGTTATTTGTATATTTCAGGGGTGTTAATGATTTTTTCTGGGTCTTTGGGGATGTAAGAATTCTTAAAAATGGGAAAGAGCTAAGGATTGAGGAACTGGGTGTATGGTCCTTATCATTCTTCTTCTTCTAATTGTTGTGGACATCTCCTAGATGCTGACCTAAGGGAATCTTTTTACCTTGAAAATTTATCAGAACTATTCTAATCTACTTGAGCATATTCATTTGCATCCATGAAGGTCCATTGGTTGCTGTTATGACAAAATTCTTGGCCTTGCTACCATAAGGATGCTCAAGTATTGAAAGCAGCCAGCTTTATGCTTAAATGTGAAAAGTAGCATTATATCAAGATTCTTCATCCTAGGACCCCACCTTGATGGGTATGGGACCATAACTGGTTTGTGGCTTTCTATATTTTCATTTTCATCCTTCTAAATGGCTGATAAGTTTCAGCAATGGGGAACAGGGTCTCTATCTAACTCTATTTGTCTCTTCCATTTATTATTTCTTAATTTGGATTTACTTGCTCTGCAAGAACTTTTGGAATTGCTAAACCTTATGATGGGTCATTACTATATGTCTGCATGTCGCAAAAGTTCATTTGAATTCACTTGAACCCTTTTACCAAGCTATGCATTTGCATTTCTATACAAGTCTTTTTCGACTTCTCATCTTTTTTTATTGGTATATTCAGAGAGCTTCGTGGCCAGTATAAAATTTGCATTTGCATCTTTTTTTTATTGGTATTTCTATGCATCTGCATTTCTATATGTCTGCAAGACCAGTATAAAATTTTATTTGACATCTTTTAAGATTTCTGTTTATTTTATTTATTCTCAACATTTCAGTTGCAACTGGCCTTTCTTGTAATTTTCTTTCCTCACTATTTATTGACTCGGCTCATTTCTGTAGATAGTTTCATGTCTACAAGGAGCTACAAACTATCAAAAGCTAGGAGCAAAGTTACCTAGAGGTGTGTTGCTTGTCGGTCCCCCTGGAACAGGGAAAACATTGCTGGCCCGTGCAGTGGCTGGAGAAGCAGGAGTGCCCTTCTTCAGTGTTTCAGCCAGTGAATTTGTGGAGTTGTTTGTTGGAAGAGGAGCAGCTCGCATTAGAGATCTTTTTAATGCAGCAAGGAAATGTGCTCCATCAATCATATTCATTGACGAACTAGATGCTGTTGGCGGAAAACGTGGTAGAAGTTTCAATGATGAGCGAGACCAAACTCTAAACCAGGCAATTGAAGAATTCAACTTTGCTTGCATTTCTGAAATATCCAAGTTACATTACTTTGACAGATTCCAAGATTTAAATATAACTTCTACTATATTTTGACTGGTTGCCAGATTTAGTTGGTCTTTTACATAATTTGTATGTAAATTTCATTATGCAGAGTATTATATAGTTATCCTGCAATGAATTACTGCCAAAGTTATTAGAATTATATTTTAAAATTCATAAAGGGAGCTTTTCTTTGTGATGTGAAATGTTTAACTTTGCCTAATTTATCCTTGAAAAAACCTTTTGATCAGCTGTTCTTGTAAATTTGTTTGCTATGTACTGCCATTCTAAGTTCTCTTAACTTTGGAAACTTCCTGTCTTTGAATGACAATAAATTTCTTGCTCTCATCTGGGTTTTCAAATGTGTTTTCTGTCTTTTGTAGTTGCTGACAGAAATGGATGGATTTGAATCGGACATGAAAGTGGTTGTTGTTGCAGCAACTAACAGACCAGAAGCATTGGATCCAGCCCTTTGCAGGCCTGGTCGTTTCTCAAGAAAGGTACTTGTAGGAGAACCTAACGAAGAAGGAAGGAAAAAGATCTTGTCTGTACATTTGAGAGGAGTTCCTATAGAAGAAGACACAGATCTCATCTGTGATCTAGTGGCTTCACTGACCCCAGGTTTTGTAGGTGCTGATCTAGCGAACATTGTCAACGAAGCTGCTTTACTTGCTGCTCGAAGAGGTGAGGTTTAATTGTGTTTTATATCCAAACTACCGTTCTTTTTTAATCATCAACAATGTTAATTTAAAAACCATCACTGATCATTTTATGTGCCATCTATTTTACCAAGTTCTTTTCATATCTTCATCTTTGTTGAGTAACTTCCCACGCTTCTTTTGTTTTTTCATATCTTGAGCAGCAAATATGTAGAAAATATTTTTGGGTTTTGCAGATGGTGAGACCGTGACAAGGGAAGATATAATGGAAGCTGTTGAAAGAGCAAAGTTTGGGATCAATGATAGACAGCTAAGGCCTAGTGCAATAAGCAAGGAGCTGGGGAAACTGTTCCCGTGGATACCATCTTTAATGGGAAAGAATGTCACAGGACAAGAAGGTCTGCAAGGACCTCTTGGTTACCAAACTCTGAGCTGACCATGTTTGTTGTCTTTCTTAGTGCTTTAACTGTGACTCTTGAACAACATTTTTGTGATTTTCCTCGTGTCCCCCCTTTATGAGCTAAAATTTTTTTGCCAAGTCGAGTGATACAATACCACTAGACTAAGCCCCTTAGTGCATCTATCAGTATTATATTTTAGAAAATAGGAAATCAAATTAGCACTTTTACTGCATTTGGAGTCGTGGGTTGCCACTAAAGGATAGCTTCAACTGATAGATCCATGTCTGTAAAATTTGTTTTCTATAATTAGTTTCTTTAGTGCACGTATTCGTGACAATGGCATATAAGATTAAGAAAGGTGGCTGGCAACTAGGCAAATGATGGAGGTCAATTCAAGCAAGTGATAGATGGAGTGGAAACTTCATATTTTGTTTTATCCATCGAAATGATGATAAATGGATGGGTAATTCTGTAATTGCCAGTCATTTTCCTTGCTGTGCCTTTCTAGTCAGCTGCCATTGGAAACAGGAATTTCTAAGCTCCAAACTTACTGGGGATTCCACCAAGTGTAACTTTGACACCCACTATCTGGTGATATACTAAGTTTTTTGGATTCTTTTTTTGAATAGACAATTTTGGTTAAGATTCTAAATTTCTGGTATTCTTATTCTTATTGTCCCTGTTTCTGAAAATTTGTGATTCTAATAAGTTGAGATTTGTAATCTAAGTTAAGTTGATTCAATTTGCTACACCTCTACTGGAAAATTGGTTAAAGGCTCTATTGAATTCCATTTCTCTTATTTAAGTTGGATTTGAAGAGTTACTCAATTTTGCCTCCATTCTTATGGAAATTTTAGTTTTGACTTGGATTTTTCTTTCTTCCCCATTTAACTGAGGTGGTATGGTAAATTTTTTACTTTTTACAAAATGGTTATTTATGTATTTTATATAATATAAAATATATCTTAACATTATATGAAAACATTTAAATTGAGAATTGTAATGCTCAAATCTAGCAAGACCATGGTTTTTAAATCTAGACCGGAACCAATCGGTTCAATTGGGTGATTTTCAGTTTGGGTTTATCATTTAACCAGAAATGGTCAAATTTGGCTATTGATTTATTCATTAAGTGAATTGATTGCTTCAAAATATTATTTTTTCTCAAATTAAATATTTTTCTTTTACTTATAAACATAATTTTCATATTCTCAAGTTTTTCATAAGGTCAAAAAAAAAAAATATTAAATTTATCATGTGACTTTGAAACTCACCCTAATATTATTACCATAAAAATGACAATCATTATTATTTAAACTTTTGACTATTTATTTTAATTATTTTCAATTGTTTAGTGAAATCATTATTATATTGAGATTTAATTATTTTGATTTCATAAATTTAAGTAATTTCAATTCATAGATATGATTCTTAATAAAATGTATTAATTTTAAATTATTTCAGATAATATTTAATATATGTTAAATTAAATTTGTATTCAATTCCGTTCAACCCTCTAATTCTAGATAATCTCGATGACCAGTCCGGATCTGAAATCAACTAAAATTAAATTAAAATATTTTGTAAATGGACATGAAGCATATATTTGCTTAAGTCCATAACCTTACAGCTAGAAATGTTAAGGGCACCTTGTCCTAATAAAAGCAGAAGATGCTCTCTCTCTCTCTTTGCTTTGCAGGATCTGAATATATCAGTTGGTAGTACTGCATGGAGTTATGGGCTCTTCTCTTAAATGTTTGTATATAACAACAAGATATGGTGAGTCAAGTCCCATTCATCAACACAGCACCATTAAATTAAATAAATTAATAATTAGTGTATATTTATATATCTCCAATATTGGATGGACTATATAAATTTATAATAATACAGAGAAATTTCTTGAAACTTGAAACATGTATACACATGGAAAACATTTTGGACCTTTGCTTCTTGTTGTATGCTACTTTTTTTTTTATTTTGAAGATAATATAATTTAATAAATTATTAATGAATTTTTTAATCAAGTGTAATCCAATTAATTTTCTTATTAACGAAGTCTCGAATCTCGAAATATCTCGACCATAGAAGTCGTCGGTAATTTAATGAGTAAAAATGAAAGTTATATTCTACGGTGCAACAAATTGTAAGGAATACGAATTTGATTCCTTTCAAATAATAAATTTTTATAAATTTAATAAGTTAGAAGAAAAATCTATTCTATGTGAATAAAAACAAAAATTAATGAATCTAAATTCCACATCATCCTAACATCAGCTGTTGTGTCTTTTTTTTTTTTTTTTTTTTTTTCCACATATCCTAACATCAGCTGTTGTGTCTTTTTTTTTTTTTTTTTTTTTTACAAAATAAAAAAAAAAAAAAGGAAGTAACACAAGACAAAAGGGAGTGAGAATAAAAAAAGAAACTATTCATTTTACACTAAACATCTGGTAAACATAGGAATTAAATGGAAGCCTATGAGAATACAAGTACAAGTACAATTATTATTCACAAACATTAGCCAATTTCAGAGCTTGAATTTTACTCATAGCCCAAACTTCAATCTAAAAGATTGTTTTTTTTTTTTTTTTTTTTAAAAAAAAAAAAAAAAAAAGAAGTAAACAGCAAGAAAAAGAGTGAGAATAAAAAAGAAGACTATCATTTACATAAACATCTGGTAACATAGATTAAGGAAGCCCTAATGAGAATACAGTACATACAATTTATTATTCACCAACATTAGCCAATTTCAGAGCTTGATTTTACTCATAGCCACAAACTTCAATCTAAAAGATTGCAGCTTTTAGTCTTCTGGTCAATTCCTTCCTGCAAGCCAGCAAAAATTATATGATTAACATCAATTTTACTTTTTAATCCCTTTTCTTTTAAAAATTATTTTAATACGAGAAAAGAATTTTTTTAAAAAAGAGAGATTGCAGGATTTAAATCCCTGAATTTATTTATGTATTATATGATAGATACTGAGAATTTTTTATTGAATTACTTGCCTAAAGAGGTCTCTGTCAAGGCTTGAAGCAGATAAGAGTCCCCTGTTTTCTTCAGCTCTCCTTAGAAGATATGGTATAACTGTATCTATAGGTCCATAAGGCATATACTTGCTTACTTGAAAACCTGCATTTTTTAGACTCAAAGAAAGCACTTCTGCCATTCCATATAGCTGTGCAAACTCAAGCTTCTGATAATTTCCAGTCCCAATTCCCAACTCTATTGCTCTTTTTGCAGCCAATTTCCCTTTACAATGCACATAGAAACAGACCCTCATTAGACCTCTTAAGGAAATTTTTCTGAAAAGTATTTTTAACTTCAATGTTAAACAGACTCATAATAATATTCTACCTGATTCAACATTATGTGTTGCCAAAATGACTCCATGCGAGCCATTAGAGATCGTTTCAAGCAAGAAAGAAGCACAATCATTGAAGCAATCATGAGTTTCTTGAATGGAATTATGAATTGGAGATTCATATCCTAAAGAAGATGCTAATTTTCTTTCACTTGACATATAAGCACCTCTTACTAACTTGAATCCCATAGGAACTCCCGTTTTATCAGCTGCTTTTGTTGCTAATAACAATCTCTCTTTTGCATCTTTCAAATAAGCTTGAATCGTTCCATAGACAATTGGATTGTCATCTTTATTATACTTAATTGCTGATAAATACGTCAAGTAGTCAATTGCAGGTTGAACTGCTGTGTGCTCTGCATCAATCACTAATGGTAAATTGGCTTCAACACATTTTTCGCACAGTTTGAGTAGTCTTTGTTGGGCTAAGAGAAGACCTTCTTCTTCTTCAATGGTTAATGGTTCTGGTTTTTTTAGTGTGTGATATAAAGGGCTTGAATTAGAGAAAATTGGAAAAGTGTCATCTTTCCATGGAAGATTTAAAGATGGGTCTTTCTGTTGCCACCTCAATTGATCACTAATCCTCTCAAGTAGGTTCAGAGGGCAAATTGCTGTTATCTTTACAACCACAGAACTCACCTGACAATGATACCAATCAAAAGTTAGTTTCATTTCATTACAAATACAACAACTATAATAAATTAAAACATTGAAAATATTCTACAAGAGATTGTGAAAGGGAGAGGGTATCGGAATTTAAAACTCTATCTTTTACATACAGAGATGTAAACGAGTCGAGCTATCTTGAATTTGAGTTCAACAGAGCTTCTGTCTCGTAAGTAGACTTCAATTCACTTTATTGGATTTATTGAATGAATTTGAATAAACTTTTGTTTGCGCAAATAATCAAGGAGTAGTTTGACTCATATACAGATATACAATTAAACAACATTAAATTTTATATACTAGGTTCAATTTCAACGGTGATCAAAATTTATTTAATATTTAATAAATGAATTTATTTAATTAGACTAGTCTATCGCCAGTTTGGCAATAACTTTTAAGCTAAATTTTAACTTTTGACCAAGTTAAAATTCTGTTAATTGTACAGTTCAATAACATAGCTTTTATAATAGTTTTTAGAGGTCGAGTGAGCTTTTTTGCGGAAGCATTAAACAGTCTAAGTTGAACTTTTAGTGTCTTTTTTGTCATTTTCAGGTAAACAACTAATTGATCAGATATTTTTACGGAATATTTCTAATTTAACTCGCTATATAAACAGCTACCAACTAAAAAAATTAATAATTAACTGCTACTAAAACAATTAATGTTAACAAAACTTATATTACAAAGTAGGAATTACAAGACATTTCCAGATTTCCATAGATTTGGAGAGGGTTTGGAACGTGCTTTAGAAAAAGACGCATTTGCCTTTGTTATTTACTAGAATTTTCTTTTGTCTTTAAACATTATGTCTTTTTCTATCTCTCAAGAATACGTTATTCAGCTATACAAATTGTGTGGTCACAATCTTTATCTTTTTCTATTTTTAATTTTTTTTTGTTGTTTTAGATAATATATATAATTAGTATAAAGTCTTTAATAGAAATTTTGTCCATACTAATATTTATATTGACAAAATTCATGTGCTCAACTACCTATCTATTTTGTCCTATGGATTGTAAGTTAAGATTTAATTTTAGGAAAACAAATTAAATTAAAATAAAATAAAATCGTAAATTTAATTATCCATTATCTGTATATATAAAAGTGGGAATGAGAAATAAAATAATGGATAGACTACAAAGATCGTGGTTTTATTTTTTAATAACAAATTACTCTGTTTTTTGTTTAGTTAAAAATTAAATTATACAATTTTATATTTTACTAGTTCATAAAATTTATTAATATTCATAAAATTTTTTCGTTTAGTATAAATAATTTTTTACTAGTTCGAATAAGAAAAATTAATTATTTTTTATGATGAAATTCGATTTAAAAGAATACACAAGAAATCTAATCTAATATTAATAATAAGGGGAAAGGAATCTAAGAAAGGAATCTATCTAGAATTTCTAAATGAGAAAATCTTAACTGATGTTTATTGAATTGGTCTTTTTGGTTTTTGGATGGATGGGATTGCCAACTAAGAATTAGTTCACCACTGTCCAGCTGTTATGCTATAGAAGATTGGACCGAACACAACGCACGTTCCACGTAAGCTCCTACTCAATGTAATCTTTCAACAGATTCCATTCAAGATTCCTACACGCAATGGCTTACGTGTACTTGTGCGATCCACAACTTTTTCTTCTTTTTCGCAGTATTCTGATTAGTGAACACGTATTGGCTTAGCTTACTTAACGCCTAATCTTTTTGGCTTACCATAACCAAAGATTTGTACATTGAAATGTATAATTTACTTAAAATCCAAGTTTTGAATCAACTCTAATACTAACTTTCAACTTGAAAATCAAATTGAAATATTTTCTAATCAGTAACTTAAATTTTCTTATTGAAAATCAATTTGGCAACTTGCACGTGCTGGAAAACATCGTAAGAAAAGTTCATAAATCTGATTTTTTCTTAGTTTAAACAAGTTATTGATACCAGGTAAATAGTTATTTCATTCAAAAAATGGAATGGAATACTTAATTTTGGATCAATTTAGCGTTAGATTGAGCATTTTTCGTTTTACACTTTTAATTTATGAGTTTGCATGGCAATTTTATTTTCCGGGAAAATCTTAAACCGTCAAAACAAACGTGTAACTCAAAGGAAAGATAGGCAAAGAAAAATGATGAAGAAGAAGAAATAACTTACAGAAGATGAAGGAAGAGATTTAGCTGCTTCAATAGCTTGAAGAAACCCATTAAAATTCCGATCACAAGCATCATTATCAACAGTAAACTCCACAGCAAAATCCATCATAGCTCTTAATCCAAACTCATTCAATCTCCTTACACACTTTACAGCCTCGAAACTATTTTCACCACCACAGAAATGTTCATAAAAACTGCGTCGTACAACTCCCAATATAACATTACGTACGATTTCCATCTCCATCAACCTCGAATTCAGAACCCACATGCCCAAATCAACTATAGGCTCTAAAGCCGCCATTTGAAGGATAAGAGAAGCATGTAAAAGCTTTTTAGTGGGTATAGAGGAGAAAAGGCTTTGATGATTGTTTAAATCTAGAATTGATGGTGCTTTGGTTACCGTGGCGGAGGCAGGGGCAAGGGCGGGTTCGGGTTTTTGAGCCAAGTTAAGTGAGGAGATGGCGGAGATGGAGGAGGAAGAGGTGGAGGAGTTGAGAGGTCTAATGAAAAAACGGAGGTTTTTGAGAAGTTTTGGAGAAAGGGATTTGATGGCCATTAACAAGTAATTATTATTATTACAGGGCTCCAAATTTGTTTGAATGAGTGAAAGCTAAGCCCTTGGATTTGTTATTTATAGAAAAACTGAAAGGAATCTTTTTTTTTATTAAAAATAAAAATTCTTATGAGAAAATTCCTAATTGTTATACGCAGAAAGTTGAGAAGTTTATGAATTTAAGGTCACGTAAAATCCCTGTCCACATAGAGATGAGGTGGAATGATGAGGTTGATCCGGTTTGATTATACTGAATTAATCCTGTGGGTCGATTTCAAATTGCAATCGGACAGAAACAAAAATTTAATCAAAATTAGTCGGAAAAAATTCAAATTGAAATCAACTCGAGATAGCCGATTTCAGAATCAGAAGAAATTCAAGTCGGTCTCCATTCTAATATTTAGAACTAAAATCGGCAAAAATAGCTAGCTAAATTGATTGAAACTGGCCAATTTCAGTAAAAAAACGAAAGGCTTAAGAACAAAAAATCGACCCAAATAACGAAACCAAAATTCGAACCATTCCGTGTACTAAATAGTAAATACAACAGTCGGTAACAATTTTCTCTTATTTAACGTTTCTCAATTATTGATATTAATAATGAACATATTAAATAAGTAACTAAATCATGAAAATGGCAAACTAAATCATCAAAACATTATGTTGTTTTTTTTTTAAATCGCCGGTATCTAAATTCTATTATCATGAATTGCCTGATTCAATTTCTATTATCATGAATTACCTAATTCAATTTGGAGCTTACAGCCGAAACTCTTGCCAAACTCTATATCTTTTTTGTGATTTTTTTTGGTAAGTTGTCTTCCCGCGTCGCTTTAATAATTTGGTGTGAAATAGCTCAGCAGCATATGTAGAATGTATGATGTATCACGGCAAACTTTAAAAATAATATCATTAAGAATAATTTATTTGTATTTTAATTAAAAAACTTTTAATTTAATTTAATTTTATTGATTAAAAATATTATTAAAAATTATTTTGTCTTATTCTAATTAAAAAATTTTTAATTTATTAGTTGTGATTTAATATATTATAATTTAATATATTATAATTTGAACAATCAAATTCCCTCTATTACCTTACTCCTTCAGAATGAAATTAAAAATTTTAAAAAAATTATCTTAATAAAATATTAATCTTACAATCCTAGTACATACCTAGCTTCGGCGGCTCAACATTTTGTGTATTGGCCGATAATAACTGGAATATTAACACCATTTGGTATAACTGATGAGCATATTTCGTTGACTATTAACCGTTTATGTAATAAATACTTTAATTTTCTTAACATCCTTTTAAATTTTACCATCATAAATTAAAATTATAAATATAAATATGTACTACTTTTAACTAGTACATTGGGATAAAAATATTATTGAAAATTTTAATTTTATTAGTTAAAAAATAATGATAATATAATTTTGATTGATTATTTTAATTTCCTATTTAAATCTGAATTAGAATATAAGAATTCAATTTAATTTCTTGGCAACATTTAATTTGAACAAGCCAATGTGATCAGATTGATCTTCCTGATCTCGAGGTCGAATCCTCTAAGTCTTTTCTACCACAAAAGTTATCATCGATTATGGTGAATGTTATTCAGATTATGGTGAATGTTATTCAAAGGGGAGGGCTGCCCCCCCTTGTAGCACACTATATTATTCCGGTCACTCGGACCTTCCATATAAAAAAAAAAAAACATTTAATTTGAACAAATAATTAAACAATGAAAGTTTAGTAAAAACTAATTCCATGGAATTAAAACCATAGAATTTCGAATAAAGTTTTTGGAAAAAGCACGACAAATATAGATTTGTAAATAAATCCTGTAAATTCTAGAAAATTAATTTGTATGAAGCAATTCCTCAGTTACCAGGTTTTTATCTGAAGTTTAAAAATACAGGTTAAAAGACAACATGCTAAGCCAGAAAAAGTTGCTGCTATTTAGGGGTTCTGCATTTTACATTTGTAATAACAAGCTTTCAATCACTCCACAGCTCCCAAACAGAGGCCAAGAATGGTAGCATTCAAGGTACTGGAGAACTAAAGGCATGCCATGAATTATGCCACAAGCTAAAGATGATGAAAATTTGTTTCCTGCAATTTATGCCTCATGTTAAAAAAATGTGTGTTCCCAATCACTAATAAAATGGAAAAACGAGAATATGGAACAAGATATAAAGTACAAACACTTCGTGGCACTTTTTCCTTTTGTAATTTGTTTTTATCAACATAAACAACGAAATATCAAGAATGACATAAAATGAATCAAATATCAATCAGGAATTCATATGCAGAGGAAAATGCAAAATTTTCTTCCATACCATTTTTTTTCTAAAAAAAAAAAAAAAAAAAAAAATGCAAAATTTTCTTCGCATACCATTCTTTTTTCTAAAAAAAAAAAAAAAAAAAACATTCAAGAAAGCTAAAAATTTAATGAAAGAAAAAAAAAAAAAAAAAAACATCAAGAAGCTAAAATTAATGAAGATTAGAAATTTGACACAAATACCTCAAAGAGATGAAAGATAGAGGGCATTCCTCAGCTCTTCAATTGATAGACGAAATTCATGTTTGAAGACTTCCGTATGGGCATTAAGCTAACCAGCATCAGTATAAGTTCACCTAAATCAAATAATACCATAACTCTTGAAGGTGCGTTTCTCTTTGATGTATAAAACATCGAACAACCTGCTATTAAGAGCATATACAAAATTCTGTACTAGTGAGTTGAAGCAGAAGCACCAGTGCTACCCAATCCCATCTTCTGCCCCAACAGTGTGAGCTGCTCAACAAACTCTTCTCCAGTGAGAATTTCTGTTGTTCCATATATAATATGCTTGACAGGCTGCTGTCGACGCGAAAGCTCTTGCAACCCACCGTACTCCACATAATTACCACCACCAATCATGAATACGATGGCTTCTTTGAATGGCCCTTTGAGATGGCTGCTGCCAGCCCCTGACTTGGGAGCACGAGGATCAAACGCAAGGTAGGAATCGATCTCTGGATTAGGTTTCCCCTCCATCAAAGCTTCCACAGTCCTTGCTAATGCAAGCTGCCTATCATTAGATAATAAATTTTTCACACCTGCTGTCACAGCACTAATTGACTGTCCATAAAGCTTTTCAGCCCAATCAACAATATTATTTCTACTAGCAGAATTTGTTGATGCCAATGAAACATTGAGGGACTTCATTTTCTTCACATACTGGAATGCACAAGTATCAACCTCAGACTCCCTAAGAGCTGCTTCCACTGCTTCAACTTCTGACTGGTTAATACTATCAGATGATATAAGGTAAGTGATTGCAAATCTCAGCTTATCAATTTTGGACCCTTTCCCTCTAAGCACAGCCAAAAGTTCATTTCTATCAATCCCTCCTCTTATCATCATGTCATTCTCCTTTTTGGCATAAGAATCAAGAGATCTCTCCTTGATCTCACCCAATAATACAGTTGCGATGTTTGTATGCTTATCAATCACCTGCTTCCGCTCAGTCAACTCAGGCAGGGAGTTCACTGCATTCATCAAATGTTTCGTATTTCCAATCAAGTCTGTGCCGTCAAATTCTGCTCCATCTGTTCCCCCAGTCCTCCTGTTTACCTCATCAACATCCTTCTTGTACTTATTCAATTGCGTCTCAATTTCCACTGCAACTTCGGGAAATTCCAAAGACCCATTCGCAAGCCAAAATGGATCAGAGCTGTCCAACTCATACGACTTCATACCACCCTTTTCCCCCTGAACACTCAACCTGTTTAGCTTCAATCCAAGCACATCATGAACAAGCGGGCGATAACTGAAATCATGCTGTATCCCAATTGCCAATTCAAAATTCCTATCAAATATACACAAAATTGGCCTCTGAAATGAGCTCAGAAAACCCCCACCTTCCGAAAACAAATTATTCTTTGACAACAAATGATCTCTCAACCTCTGATCCAAAGCCGAAGCCACCATCTCAGCAGGCCCTCCACGGGGACACCTAATAACCGGAACAACACCCGATGTTGCCAGCACACAAAACAAACCACTAACGATCCTCTCAATTATCTCCTCAATCTCCCTATCCCCAGCAGACGGATCATTCAACTGAACATAACTAGATTTCTGAGCCAATGAAAACAAATTATCCTCCAAAGTAACAAACTCCAAATACTGATCATGCACCTTCGAAATTCTATGTATAGAATCCGAATTCAGAGTCCCGGAAGCAAGATCCTCAAGAAGAGGACGCGGAATCGAAGACGAAAAATTCAAATGGAAGTTATCGTAGAGTGAACGAGACGCATCAGCAATAATTCGTTGAATATTGGTTTGAGTAGGTTGAACAAAATAAACAGCAGGAACATCATTAACAGGCTTTCGATCTTTATCGATTAGGAAGTAGAGAGTAACACCATGCTTGCGTAGATCCTTGACATGGATCAATGGAGATAAGATATTTTGGCAAAATTTATCGTAAACCAAGATCTTATAAACCTCTTCATTAGCAGTACCAGTAGCGTTTACAGGTTGATTTAGGTTTAGCATTCGGATTATACATTCTGTATTCAAAAAGATTAAGATCAGTATATATACATAAATAAGACCGAGAAAATGAAAATCAAAAGAAAATTTAGGAGAATTGGAGAGATTTTTAAGAATGACACTGTTTATGCTTTACAGAAGAAGAAGAAGAGATCTAGAGAGAGAAAATCTTACCTGTTTGCTTTTGTCGGAGATTGAGAGCCATGAGACTGAAGAAAATTCCGATCTATCGAGTAAGAGAAGTTTCTGTTTTCTATTCCAATCAGTGATTTAAGGTTTCTTCAAAAGTTCCAGTTGCTTCGGGTGGTGCGGTGTAGAAATGAGAGCTTTCGCGGTCGGTGGTGCTGTGGAGAGGAGATTTGGTGAAAGAGGTGTAAAATGGGTCAATGGGCCACTGCTAGAACAGGCCTCTAGAGAGGCCGAGTTGATGCAATTTTTGCGAGCCACCGAACGTAGCAAAAATATTTATAGTCAAGAAGATTTAAATTTGAAATCTCATATATTTTATGTAAATAAGAAATTTAATTAAATTACCATTTGATCAGAGTATTATTTAATATTAACACAATTAAATTTCTGATTTAATGTGATAGATTTTCCCCTAACTTTTATGTTTTGGGCAGAGGTAATGTAAAATATATGTGCTTTTTAATTATTTAATTATTTTATGTTTCGTTTTATTGTTGCGTATCAAATATTTTTCTTAGGTAATAGTAACGTGAAATTTTTAGAAGCAATAATTGGCAAACTTATTTGGTTGCCAATAATTGAGAACTTTCCATGAGGTTAAAACACTAGTTCCTTAATCGTAAAAGGAAGTAAATTTTTATTTCTGAGAAGTAAAGTGCGATATAGCAAAAATTCTTTCTCTTTTAATTAAAAGTCTAAAATTTGAGTTCAAGCTATGAGTATGAACTCTCTTTTTAAATACTCGGGAGGGAACGTTTTACGTCTTTTCATAGACCCCATCGAATGAGAATCTGCATTAATCGGACCAGTTGATTTCGGGTGTCGAATAGTAAAAAAAAAAAAAATAGTAAATTCCTATCCTTAAGAAGTTAAATAAGGTGCAACTTAAATAGAGTTTTCGTGCAACATGGAATATGACAGCAACATAAATCAGCAGAGCAGAACTCAAAGAGTTGCTAGAAAGAAGCTCTCTTTAATATCACAAAGCACAACTTGTGCAGCATTATGGCAAGGTGCGTCCGTCACTCCGCCTCCTGGATGTGATCCGCTGCCACACATATATAGTCCTTTCATTGGAGTTCGGTAACCTGACCTGTAATTCAAGGCAAGACACTCTTCATATACATTGCTTACACTGTCTTCTTTATTATTAAGATTAATTATATTTTTTCCAGTTTCTTCTCTAACCATCATCACTGATAAATTGTTAAAGAGTTACCATTGTTTGACGGGTCGTGTCAAGAAAAGTGCATCCAAACTCATGGCACCATGAAAAATATTCCCTCCTGTCATAGAAATCAAAATTTAAGATAACTTCAGCATTCAAAAAGAGTAAAATTTTATTCATGTTTCACAAAGAAAAATCCATTTTCTCTCTAGTAATATTGTTCTAGCAAGAAACTACAACGAATCCTTTTATATTCTATTAGCAGCCCAAAAGAATGTGCAAGCATGTTTCTATCACAGATTTAAATATTCATGATATCAATCCTTAACAGATATTGTTAGCATGTGCAGCTATAGAACGACAGACCTGTGAGACCAAATTCCCTTTCAAGGTCTGGCGGTGTTAACATGTCGTAACCAATTATTGAAGAGCTAAAGCCTGGAGCATATTCATCGATCAAGGAAAAACATTTTTGTGCGTACGCTTCCGGACAGTTTGCAAATAAACAAGAAAATCATATATTTTTGTTATGCTAAATACCATATACAACACAACATCACGTTGCACAGAAAATTAGCTCACTTAACGAACATACAAATAAGAAGTATTGATATTTGTAGAGAATAGTTGGAAAAATTGGAATTTACCCAGTAATTAGGATCTTCCCAGCTCACATCAGAGGGTTTAGAAGGTGTATATTGTGTAGATAAGCCAATTACATGCTTTCCTATAAGAACATGAAAGAGTTTATCATTCTAACAAATGGAATTCATATGTTAAAAGAATATTTCCATCGCCATGTGGAAACTACAAGTGTGAAACACCAAGCTATATAACTTAAAAGAATAAAATCTAGGGATTAAAGATTTTACGCATTAATCACTCATATATTATGGAGGAGGAACGAATCAGAGCGACAAAGGACTGAATCTCAGTAGACTGTAGAAACAAGGCCACTTTGCTACTTACAATGTCTGTTGCATTTTAAGTCACTTAACCCTCAAAAAACAGAGATAGAGAAGACTATCAAAATAACAGTTGCCTCGACTTCCATATTTTATTCTATATGAATAGGTGATTATGAAAGAATGTTTACATATTCTGTTCATTTTATAAAAAAACTAGTTGACGTTTTTAGACATGTAAAACATTCTCTCCGTAGGGGAATCAGTAAGTTCTTTCGTTGATAAAACATGGGGGATGGGAGTTCTATGGTAATTTTCTAGTATAATTTCCACATAAAAGTAATTAAAAGAAAGCTCTCTAAAGAGAAAAAACAACATGAAATGACTCAAAATAATCAATGAATGCATTAAGAGGACAAGTTCATTCTACCAGGGGGCGACACGGTCTTGTCCAATGAAGATGGAATAGTCATTTCCATTATAGGCCTTTGTGATGCATAACCATTCCAAGCATCTTGACATGCTGACTCAATCTTCTCCATACTTGAGTAGTCCACAAAAAAGAAGAAGAATTGTGAGATTTAGTATCTTAATTCAGATAGCTTAATGTTAGGCATAAAATTCCAAAACATTGGATGAGATATATTAAAGAAACTAGACAATAGGCCAGCTTTCAAAATTTCTTTAGTAAATTCATACAGCAGACCAACAATTTGGCACTAGAACATAAGTAAATGCAGGCAAAGTGAGATACTCTGCAGGTTCATTCTGCCAAACAAGTGTAGCGAGTTGTTTTCCATTATTCTAATTTGAACACTTAGTTCATTCAAATCAGAAAAGTCTAACTCAAAGGATTTAGCAAGCTTTTAAATTATTGAGATCTTTACTCTTTACATCCATAGTAATTAGAAACAGCAATACCTTAAGATCACATTGTCAGTCTTGCAATTGCAAATGCATCAAAACTAATGAAGAATACTTGTTATTCCCCAGAAACGAAGTAAATTGGCCAAAAAGAACTGCAAAAGGATATTTAACTTTCCAAGAACACCATACAGTACCTTTCACAACCAATGCGAATTGTAGCAGTATGATGTGGACCCACCTCTTGATGATGCATCTTCAAACACTGGAACTGAGGCAATTTATCAACGGCTACATTAATTTTTGTTGTTCCCTAGCAAATTGTTGATGGCCAAAGAAAAGTAAGAATACCTTGAAATCTAATCTTATTGGAAACAAAATAGTATTATAAAATCAACTCAAACATAATATGCAGACATTTTTGCCGTCCAAAATTCTTGTAGAATGAAGATTTGCTTGTAAGATAAGGTGGAAAACTAGTACCAAAAATAATTTTTTCTAAATTTTTACCTCTCTTAAGATTAAAATTAAACTCTCTTTATTATATTTAATCATATGTTGGCCCATGAAAAATTTTATTAGAGTTGTCACTGTTAAAGAGCACAAGGAAAGGAGTGATGCATGATTTATCAAAGATTAGGAAAAAAACATGTTATACTTATTAGCAATGTGTTAATATCATGTCTTTTTTAATCAAGTAATCTTACAGAGCTGTAGTCGCACGAACAAAATCATCGGGAAGAACATTTTGAGGCATCAATTCCTGTGTCAGAAAAGTATGGCATTGAAAAGAAGATTACTTCATGAAAATTTACTATCGGTGGTGAATGTTTTCACCACTTATTATGTTCACATGTGCATATTAATAGTGTTTCATAATATCCTCCTGTAGTTTTGAATGTGGCAATGTTAGATTTCTTACTCTGAAGGTCTTAGAAGGGGTTGCATTTGACAAAACAAATGAGGAATGTGCTTGTCTCCCATCAGCTAGAAGGACCTGGTTATCAATAAAGTAGATACGTAGGTTAACATTTGAAAATTTTTAGTTAAAGCAGAGCAATCCAAGAAATCAACTAACCCCATTAACTCTGCCAGAGTCTTCAATCATCAACTCTGAAACCTACGAAGAAGATAAACCTATTAAAAATTTTGAGAAACATAAATTCAGAGGATATGGAAAAAACAATTACATAGAATAACACAAAGGAATAAATATATTTGTAAATTATTCGATAGGGAAGCAACAGATACAGGTAGTCAAACTAAAGACAATACCACTTCATGGATAAACAAAGCTGGAACGCTAAATAAGCCTCGTCACACTTGTTAAAATCACATAATATAATATTTTCTTACAAGGTGAAGAACAAGAAGCATGTTGATAAAGATACCTCAGCATTTGTTTCGAGATGAACACCAACTTCCTTAGCAGCTCTATTTATGGCCAGGCTTACTGCACCATTCCACCTTCAACATGTCTGCAATATGTTTAAGACTATTGATCATCTCAGTCATTTTGCTTTCGATTCAACTAAATATGGTAAATCATCTAAAGGTGTAGATTGACGTTAAGTTGTTTGGATTGAATTGATCAACAAAGACAAACTTTCATATGAGTGAATATTCTACAGATATTAGGAGCTGGCATCTCTCTATGTTCCTCACACATGCACACAAGGATGTTCATTCACTCACATGCATATATAGTTGGTTGAAACTTCTAATGAAGAATTCTCAAATAATATTATATACTTACGACCAAACGTTACGATCACCATCAGTTTCACCCATCACATGATGTAGCAGTACATATCCACTCCCAGGCATGTTGATATTGCCTGTGAAACCAATAAAAAATTCTTATAAGTACCGGAAGCTTAAAACTTTATTCTGAAGTTCTATCGTTTTAAGTATTTATCAGCCTTCAATCTCCAATGAGTATCATGTTCAAAATTAGCATATAGTTCTTTCCACATTCAATTAAAGATGAGACCCATATTTTGTGTTACCACAAATTTCAGGTCAAACTAGAGAGAGAGAGAGATGGAGTAGGATTTATTCTCCGATTAGATGGTCATGGCCGCAAGGAATGTAGAGATAAATAAGTTACTAAGAGAAAAAGATTACAACACCACCATCAGATAATTTTGCAAATGCAAATTGTACCTCTATAAGTGAATTGTAATACCGATTTTACTTCTTAAGGTAAAATAACATCCTCTAATAGACAAAATCAGTCTAAGTGTTTGGAAGTGAGTTCACAGACAAAAAATTTTCCAAATGCATGCATTAAATTCGATATAAATCTAGAACTCCAAGACTCTTACCATGCTTCCAATGGTGGCATCTCCAGCAAGTGATGCTTTCAGTACATCTGTCTGAAAATACCCAATGAAGAAATTTCTAATAGAAGCTGCTCAGTTGAAGTCTTTATTGAATTAAACATTAGAATAATCACAATGGCTTTGACAGTCATGCACAATTGTATATCTAATAACTCAAAACTAAATTTTAGAGAAGAAAGTTTTGCCATGCCCGAAGAACACTGAGGTGCTAACCTCTTCCACGGTTTCAAGCTTGTAATAGTTATTATTAGAGGATCTCATTTTGGTGAATAAATAACAATATTCTTGAATGTTTATTAGGGAAATTTATTATTTAGTCCCTTAGGTTTTACAAAATTAACCAACTAATCCAAGGTTGTGCCAAAATATCTAGCTAGTCCCTCAGGTTTAACTCCGTCTAATTAAAAGGTCATTCCATCCGAAAAGTTAGTTTTTTTTCCGTTAATTATAGACTAAAAGATCTAGTAAGCTCCCTCAGGTTTAACTCCGTTACTAACTTAAAAAGTCATTCCATCCGAAAAGTTAGTTTTTTTTTTCCGTTAATTATAGACTAAAAGCACTAAAATACCACTCCCTTAGCCGACGTGCCGACCATAAGGCGAAAATTATTATCTAGTCCCTTCAGGTTTTTACATAATTATCTAACTAATCCCAAGTTTTTGCGCAAATATCTAACTAGTCCCTCAGGGTTTAAATCCGCTCTAATGTCTAATTGAAAGGTCCTTCCGTCCGAAAAGTTAGTTTTTTTCCGTTAATTGAAGACTAAAAGACTATAACACCTCTCCCTAGCTGACGTGGACCAATATGAAGCGATAATGATATACCTAGTTTGTTTCCCTTTTGTTCCTTCCATGCTATAATGATATACCTAGTTTATCTTTTGCGCAGATAACCTTGCATTAAATATTAATATTCATATTCAAAGTTATGAAATTATAATAATATAGGTGGCAATAATAATAACTTTTTTTATCTATAACTAACTATTATTTTAGAGCCGGTGTTTTCTACGCAAATATCTTTTTTTTTAGAATATTAATTTAATTGAGTAATTTAATTTTTTTTTCAATTTTATCCTTATTTATATTAAATTTAATAATTATTTTTAATAATTTTCCAAAATCTTATAACATCTCCCCTCTTACTTAAGGTTACGCTAATAAAATTAATTAATATTGTTATACTTTATAAGAATAAAATTTATTACTTAATTTCCATTAAAAAACATATAATAGTATTTATGGAATAGATGGAATAACTTTGTTTTTTTTTTTTTAGATTTTTTTTATCAATGATAATTTTATCAATGATAATAGTAATGTTTCTTGATAAAATTTGCATATTAAATATGAATAAAATAGAAAATTATGTTTATTACTTTTTGTCTAAAAAAGAAACTATGATGATAAGTTGGGGTAAAAAGAAAAATGAGGTATTTACTTTTTTGAAGAGGTATTTACTTTCATGATTCAGTTAAATTTAATAATATTTAATTAGAACATCAAATTGATTTTTTTATCCTTTTTTTAATACTGTCTTTGTTCCATAATACTTGTCAGATTTGAGAAAATAGTTTGTTCTAAAATATTTATCTAATTTGGTCTAAAATACTTGTTATATTTTGCGGTTTTAAGCGAGTAATAAATAATTTTTTATTATTTACCTTTTGTGTATAATTAATAATTATTACTTCAATTTAATGATTTTTCTTAGCAGATAATATTAAATTAAGGAGATTAAGAGTAATATTGTCAAAATTTATTCAATAATTTATTATAATTTATACAAATTTAATAATTTTTTTAAAAGACATGAAATTCTAAATGTGGGGAATATTATAGAATGAAGATAGTAATATTTTAGAGACATAATTATATTTAATGGTTTTCAATTTGCAAATATTCATAATCTAAAACTAAACCGTACATTTAAGAGAGAAAAATTATTATATCTCCATCGACTTTATATGAAGCTCTTCAATTTTCATTTTTAAATTTAGCGAAGCTAATTTTCCTACTCGTGTAATTAAGCTTAAGAAAATAGTTTGTTCTAAAATATTTGTCTTTTAGGGAAAATTATTATTTAGTCTTTTAGTTTATACAATTCCCTCCCTTATCGCTTCATACTGGTCCCCGTCAGCTAAGGATGGGTTTTTTAGTCTTTTAGTCTTCAATTAACGGAAAAAAACTAACTTTCGGACGGAAGGACCTTTCAATTAGACGGAGTTAAACTCGAGGGACTAGTTAGATATTTGTGTAAAACTTGGGATTAGTTAGATAATTATGTAAAACTTGAGGGACTAGATAATAATTTTATCTTATGGTCCACGTCAGCTAGGGAGGAGTGTTTTAGTCTTTTAGTCTTCAATTAACGAAAAAAAACCAACTTTTCGGACAGAATGACCTTTTAATTAGACGGAGTTAATGTTAATTTAGACGGGGCAGTTAAACCTGAGTAACTAGCTAGATATTTTGGCAAAA